ATAGTTGATGGTTGTATGTGGAAATCTTTTCGTAGCCGATTACCCCGAAAAAAGGAGCTCACGTGAATCCCACATCTAACCCCACACGGAGGTCACTCCTCCCTTGATAAACACCAGCATGGACTGAAGAACAACACTCTCTCGCTCCATGGGATAGCGGATCTTACCCTCGCGACTACGAAATAGCCACCATGCTCATATGTTGTGTTGATACGGTCAAGATCAGAGCCCCCAAGGGTTGCTTAGGGCTGCAACTATAGAGAAGATGCTCTCACGCTTGTCGCACCCCAGAGGTCACCTCCGACTAAGATCCATTGTGCATGTCGCATCGCAAGTTTTGGCTACACCTTCGAGACCGACAAATCCTAATGTCCTGCCCTTCAAACGAGAACTGCACACAGCCCTCTTTTTCCCAGGTTTGTACCGCCCCTAACCCCCTTTTACCTCTGAACGTCAAATGGCCGCTAATACACATAATAGGACATGGAGTCCAAAGGGTTGGCATGGCCAACAGCTGGATTGAAAGCTTCCCCCATACCGCGGCTAAGGTTTTGGACGAGATGGATAGCACCCTCGGGTTCAAACTGTCCAGCATTATATCCGATGGCCCCAACTCCAAGCTCAACAAAACGGAAAATTCACAGCCTGCAGTCATGGCAATCTCAGTCATGATACTTCGTATCCTGGAGCAGGAGTTCGGATTCGACACTAAATCTCGAGTTGATGTTACGCTTGGACATAGCCTCGGGGAGTTCTCCGCATTGGTTGCCGCGGGCTATCTTGAATTCAGGGACGCTTTACACTTAGTTCGTGGTCGGGCTGAAATTATGGCCCAGTGTACGCGCCAGTTGACCGAGCAATCAGGTGAAACATATGGCATGGTTGCACTTCTCTGTGAACCCGAGCACTTGGAAGATTTGCTTCGAACGGTTCAGGAATTCATTGGCCCCGAATCACCGGGTATTGAATTCGACAGGGATAATCGTGTCCCATCAATTCAACAAGTGGTGGTCGCAAACATCAACTCGAAAAATCAAATCGTGCTAAGTGGTAGTATTGACCGAATCAAAATCCTTCTGGTCCAAATGCGTCAATTTGGAGGTCATGACCCACGGGCCGTCAGACTGAAAAGTGACAGCCCGTTTCATAGCCCTGCTATGGCGCTAGCTGCGGATTACGTGAGAGATGCCGTTGAGAAAATCAACATCACATTCCCGGTATCAATTCCATGCATATCAAATGTTTCCGCCTTGCCCTTCAAGTCTAAGGAAGACATTAAGGATCTCCTTTCAAGACAGTGCACTGATACAGTGAGATGGTGGGATAGCATTCGCTATCTTGATCAGGAACGAGGCGTGAGGCGGTGGATCGGAATTGGACCAGGAAAGGTCGGCAGGAATTTGGTTGGCAAAGAGGTTGGGAGAGTTGACACCAAAGGTGGTGGGGTGTGGGCTGTTTGCGATCCTCGTGAAATGTCAGAGATCATGGTTGCCCTGGAGCAGACCGAAGTCGAAACTGAAGACTACTAATACCAACCCGAATTACCATGACAAAATGATCATCTTTTTACTGTCTGTTCTATTATATTCAAAATTCTTATGACTTATACACCATACGAAGTGGAAATACAAAGTACATATGTACCATAATGACTAAAGATATAATATGGCTATTTTCCGAACAGTTTGGTGAGATAGTTGCTGTCTAATACGAATGTAAGTTGGGGAAACTGGTTGACTTATGTTATATCTGTATCCTCAAAATCTGACATTGGTACTCTCACTACAGAGAAGTACCTGGAGCCCACGAATCCCCAATACGTTTAACATCCGCAACGAACTTTTTGTTAGAGATTGGCTGGCAAGCGGACAAAGAAGAAGCTGTATTCCCGGGGATCGGTACGTGGTCGTCGGGGGAATAGAATGGATTCTGCAAAAGCTGGATATATGCACTTTGTAATGCGCGGAATGCCTGTATAGAATAATTAGGGGGTGGGCTCTTTCGGCAGATAAGCATTCGCCAGGCATAGAGGAAAGACACACCGGCTTCACATCAGAATCTCTCAAGCCATTAATCGCAGCGCCTGCTTGCTTTCCAGCACTGGGCTCTTCCTGGCCGAATAAATCCACAATGATCAATAGTTTTACTCCGGTGGTCGTCAACCATCCATAGGCCGCAAGTCGTTCGTCAATTGCATGTAATAGACCTAGATCCTGATCAATGGATGTTTGTTTGCACCGGATGTCGAAAATGTCGAGGCAGGAGTTCAGTAAGAAGGAGAATTCGATAGTGGAATCCGAATATGGGGGGAACAGGGAAATGTGAAGAGGGTTATCCTGCAATCGAGTTAGTATGGACAATTCCGGAGGGACAAGTTAGCAGAGTGATACATACTGCCTTCCCAATCACGCCAATGCAGGCAATTTTGGGACCTGACATTTCTGAGATGGCTCTTGAAGTGGCAATGTATGCGGACTGGGCGCAAACACTTGGGCTCTTGGAGTTTAGGGACTGATTCCTTTGTCTCGACACCGTGATCGGGTGAAAGTTCTAATCTGGGTAGGTATTATCTCTTCATATCATGTCCACAATGCTCTGAAATCGAGCAGCCCTTTCAAGGGACGGTTACTTTGCAATCAAAGTGTAGACAGCAGTGGAGTGGTTGTCTCCCCCGCGGCATAACGTAGTTATGAGAAGACGCGTTCAGGCATCCAGGCAGCAAAAGGAGCTAAGAGCCAATGACCACAGAGGGAATTCGATTTACGAGCATCTCACCGCTTTTACCATACCGGTTTCGATGACTGAAAAATACAGACGTTGAGCCAATGAGCTGTGAGGTAATAGCTTACATCATCTCTCTCAAACCGTCGGTATACATCTTCTTCTTCCACTCTGGAATCGGAACCTTTTTGGGGTTCTCCTTGTCTTGCAGTTACCCGGAGCCCGCCACCTCTGCCCTCTCGTAATTCTATATTACCTGTCGTCACTGGCCGAGGCTGCAATTACCTTGTCTCTTTAACCTCCGGGATTACGACCTTTTATTCTAGTTGTTACTCTCCACCGAAGAGACTTTTATCAAGATGCTTCCGATGGCGAGGCCCGCCATCTCTGGCGCTCTGTGCGGTAGGGATCATCTTCACCTCATCGACAATGTCAATTCACTAACAGAATACAGCTGCGCGACCCCGTTTCGTCGCCTCTCTCCCGCGTGCCCAACCCTTGGCGGCCCTCTCGACTTCGTCAATCAAATCAGCGACAGCGCTCGAGCGTCAACCATCAGCAGGCGCCCAGCAATTGACCGCGTCAGGCAAGGCTCGCCGAGAGGTGCCTTTGCCTAGTCAGGAAAAGAAGGAGGGTGCTATGCAATATGCCTTGTTCGTTTGCTCTCTATGGCTTTCATCTTGGATGCGCCTTGAACTTCCGTTGACCCTATATTACACAGGACCACTCTCGATCAGATTGCCAATTGGGCTCGTCAAAGCTCCTTGTGGCCCATGACCTTCGGTCTTGCATGCTGCGCCGTCGAGATGATGCACCTTTCTACCCCCCGTTACGATCAGGATCGTCTTGGAATCATTTTCCGTGCTTCTCCGCGTCAGTCCGATGTTATGATTGTGGCCGGTACCTTGACGAACAAGATGGCCCCTGCTCTCCGCCAGGTTTACGATCAAATGCCCGACCCCCGGTGGGTTATCAGCATGGGCAGTTGTGCCAACGGTGGTGGCTACTACCACTACAGTTACTCGGTCGTGCGGGGCTGTGACCGGGTTGTGCCAGTCGATATTTACGTGCCTGGATGTAAGAATTTCCTCTTCCCTTGTGCTTGTGCTTGTGCTGTTTCAATTGACTAACAAAAATCAAGGCCCACCCACTTCCGAGGCACTGATGTACGGTATCTTCCAGCTGCAGAAGAAGATGAGACACACCAGAATCACACGCATGTGGTACCGCCGTTAGTCTCCAAAACCAATGATATGGTGGACTGTTTTTTTTGCCTCTTCAGTCATAGTGCATGGTAAACTTAAGTGACTCAACCTGACCGCCGTGGAGTTTTTATGTGTCTATTTACTTTGTATATCAATATCAGGCTTCAGGGTCTGATATTTTGTTTTTATCTTCACTTGATTGGTCTGTTCCCCCTTTTTTTTGCCTGTCAGAATAGAATTCAAATAAATGTCTCATATGCTGGCTTTAATAAACTTACATATGTCGCTGCATGAATCGGATTTTAGGCGGCGGTCACAATTTTCCAGATCGGGGTGCCGCCGCTTTTGAGGGCGCCTGAGTACATATTTCATAGCATCCATGACAGCATAGGGTGATTACTTACCCACTTAGTGAACGTTTAGGGTATAATTAGTAATGTTCAAATAGTCCCGAGGTCTGGCCAAACTGCCTAGAACTAGAAGTGCGCACAATGCTGAGATTAGTTACGGATTGGTCGAGCGGCTCGAGAGTACCTTGTTTTCCATGGCATTGACCTGTGATGGGAAATGATGAGACATTTATAGGAGAAAAAATTCCTCTTCAGTCTAATACTGGAATTTATATAGCCGTGTGGTCATCCCTGGTTATATATACAAAATTCCTCTATACGCGCCATCGTATACATCTAAAAAGACGGTCAAAAAAAACAACCAAAAACAAGTCGGTATTTTCTTACGTATAACGTCCCTAATATCATCTTGCGCCAAATAGATCAGGTTATTAAAGTCTTAATGTCGTCAAGGATAGACGCTACATGAGCGGCCGATTATTCCTGTTGTGGATTCAATCTGATATTAGACGGGCTCGTAGCAATAAAGCATGGATTGACAATGGAGCACGAATTGATCATAAGACCAATAAAAGCCAATAATGAGGAATAAGTCGACCGCTATAGGCCACGTAAGATAAGCTATGCTAGAAATATATGTACATAAACAGGATAACTACAAGTTCTAAAAGTATAGACACCAATATAGCGCAGCCTGAATGTAACATCGGCCATAACTGTGACATTATACTGCAAAGCCACCGGAGTTTGACTGTCTCGGCTCCCCAGCCGCCTCGAAAGTCCATTCTGTAGAACCCGGATAGCTTGGGCCTCACTCCAGTCAGGTAGGCGAGGATCAACCCAGGTCACATTGTGCCTGCGTTGCTTCATGTACGCGACTGTGGAATTGTCGTAATCATACTCGAAAAGAACTTGGTTCGGCACCAGTTGATCATGTAGGCGAGGACGAGCAAGGGCCTCCGCCGCAGAAAGTCCTTCATCAACCGCGTGGATAGTGTTCTGGATAGTAGTGGTGATGATCCAGCTTCTTCCCGCTGCTCCCGTGATAAAGAATAGCTTTCCATCAGGGCGGGTCACAATGGTAGGACTGATGGATGACAGTGGCCGCTTTCCGGGCCGGATGTAGTTGGATGGCGAGGGGATATATCCAAAGGCGTTGGAAGAGCCGGGGACGGAGAAATCTAACGCGACTATGAGTGTCAGCTTTGTATAGAGTAGGGTCATTAGTTAGAGCCCTATCATTCATCTCATTATTCATTATTATGCCTGTTTCTGGAATCATCAATTGGCTTCCAAAGAGCAAATTGATCGTAGTGGTGATGGAGATAGCCAATCCTTGGTGATCAGCTGCAGCTATGTGGGATGCTCCGGGACTTGACTCTGTCAGCAGCCCTTTCAATAAAAATCTATCAGAATAGGTGAGCTTACGTATCAAGGCTTTCAAACCCTTCTGGGTCATATGAAGACACGTAAAGCGTGTGGAAATCCGAGATCTTCCCACGAATTGCATCTGTAGTGGATTGCTTCAACATGTCCTCTTGATATTGGCTCATGCCTTCAACAAAGGAGGGATCACCTAGATTGGCTCGCTATCAAAAGTCACCCAAACGGATTGGAATCCAAACGTATAGTATTCACACACCTCTCCATAACCAAATCGAATCGCTTCATCCATTCTGTGGATGCTAAGATTCACATTATTCGGGGCGAGGAAGTTGTCATAAGTGTTTAATGTCTTTAGAACACTCATGGCGACAATTCCACTTGATGGAGCCGTTGTACTGGTAACCTTGAAGCCGCGGTAGTCAATTTGTGAAATATTCCGGATAGCTACTGAATAGCTTCTCAAATCATTTAGAGTAATGGTCCCATTTGCAGCCTGGATGGCATTGATCACAGTCTCTGCAATAGGTCTGGTATAGAAAGCATCTGGTCCTTGATCAGCAATAGCCTCAAGCGTGTCTGCGTAACGCTTTCTGGTTATAATATCTCCAAGACCCAGCAAAGTTCCATTATGAGCAAAATCAAGTCCCCATGTTGGGTTCTTGGATAGGAAATCTTCACCGTCTCCAACGACTGATTCCATGGTGCGAACCATCTCCTCTGTAACAGGGAACCCTTCGCGGGCAGTCTTGATGGCTGGTTGCAGCACAGTCGACCACGGAAGAACACCATAGTTCTTGTGGATATATTCCAGCCCACGAAGCTCTTCAGGGACGCCACTTGAAGATATGTTAGCTTTCATTAGGTAGCACAACTGATCGATGTCAACTTCGTACCTTGCTAAGCCGCCATAGATTGATGCATTCGTATCATCACTGTACATATCCTGAAAGGCGGCAGCTGGGGCGGTTTCGCGGAAATCGATGAATTCAAACGTTCCATTGGGTGCCCGAACCAACATGAACCCACCCCCTCCGATACCACTATGGTACATATCTGCTTTGTCATTAGAATGATGTGGCTCGTTGTTTATCCGCAATCATGCCTACCGGTGACTCCGACACAGAGAACCATGGTTACCAACTATAATAGCTTCAAGCTCAGTAATTGAATCACTCATACGCTTATGGGTATATTAACACATGCATGAAAAAAAGGATACATTTACAGTATCAGCGGCGTTGCCTCCATTCTCCAGCATATCTGTTCCATATCGGCTGCAGAGCGCACGTTCACTTGCAACTGCACCTAGTTTTCCATCCTCCTCAACCTTTCCAAATTTTTCTGTCGTCCTTGGGCGCGGGTTGTAGAGGAGTTGAGTAAGCGTTTGGTAAATGCATCACCAGAAGTATGACCGATGTTATCCAAAACGTGGCTCGGAAGGGACTCCGCATCATGAAACGATTTTCGTTTGGTCAATCTTGATAGATTCGATGAATTGATAGAAAGGAAGGCAGGAAGGCAGGAACGAGAGCGCATAACAGAGGCCATAAGGGCTGACTCTCGTTCTTATACTGGCGTGAGGGAAATAATGAAGTGGAGAACAGTGATTGACCGATGTTTAGGAACTAGTTTTTCGAGCATATATCCATTATTTCCCTCGCGATGCTAGATATGGGGAAGTTCTTTACGTAAAAATGATCATGAGAACCATGCCTATTGTGGGATATAACGTGCTTTTGCGTTAAATAGCTCGGAGGCTTTCATCCTTATTACTGATATCAAAGCCTAGTATTCAATTCGTTCGTTTTCATAGCGTGGGGCAAGATACAGACAATGTAATCAAACTTCATTTAATTCTCCATCTAATAATCAGAGGGGTCTCTGGCCCTATCGTCGGCGTAAATTGTTTTCTACGTATGGGCAATCGACGTAGTATACAGCAAACCAAAGCTATAGCGGGTTATTTTGGAGGTCTTTGCTCCCTAGTCACTTCTCGAAGCTCGCACGGGCAAGGATACTAGAGCCTAGTCAGAAAAAAAAAAGGAGAAAGGAAGTCTAAGAAATGCAATATAAAGGATAAACAGAAGGAGAAAAACGGACGGAGAGGAGGACAGAAAAGTGGAGGGAATGAGAGCGAGATCTATCGTCATCGTATTCGTAGCTAGTTTACAGGCTTCTACCCTGACAAACATTGACAACCTAGTATATCTTTACAATGCCTTAAATATGACCTTCTAAGAGGACTCCCACTCCGTAAGTAGATGTGCCGGCTTCGAGCCGAAACTGAAATATCTAACCTACTAAGGTTCCTAAGACTGTTCAAGGGGGTAGTAAGCCCCAAATTAGGGAGTTAGCTAAGATCCCTAACCATAAGAAACTTGATAATAGAAAGAATTGTACGTTTAAAGGGCCAGTTATCTACATAGGTACTCAAATAGAAAGCTTAATTTTAATACTAACCACAACCCGTTAAACGGGGCCTAAATGTCATTGAAAGGCGTCGTGCACGGCCTCGGGATTTCTCTTGAGGACTCGGAATTTTGCGAGCCTTGGAAGGAAGATATGTTGTAGATGTTCTTTTTTGGAAGAGTTCTCGGGCGTTATTAGCCAAGGCCCGAATGAACCGATCTACCGTCCGTGCACTCCGTTTCTCCACGAGGCATAGACTGTATAGATAAGACCGGTTGGGGGCTTTTTCTTTTTGGCCTAGTGTTTGCCCCCCAAAGCAAAAATTAAAATGAAAATTAAAATCTCTGCAACAGGGAAAGTCTTGGAAACTCTGTGGTTGAGCCGTAACTAGGTGTGCATTTGCTGGGGCACTTCCCGCCCCTCGCTCAAATAATCCATAGATATATTTCTATGGAGATTCTTAGCCATCTAGCCATTCAACAAGCTAGTCGCCTCCTTCCTACTGTAGTTCGCATACGAATCAAAAACCCCAGATTCCAAATCCACCTTTTTGGGGGGGCATACTTGGCGAAGGCTGCCGTGTTTCTATTGACTGGTTTATCATGGTCAGAGAAGCTTGGTGATATCTATTACTAAATATTCCGTACTTGTGGAGATTTGATGAGGCCTTATCCGAAAGACACTAACCTCACTTCCCGTTTTCGACTCCAGAGTACTCCGTATATTGTTATGCAATTAGATCTATAATACTAGTAAGATGCCTTTTATCTTCCAATGTTCTAGGTATATACCCACATGGAAGGGTGAAACATGACAGCGACAGGGTCACTGATAAAGGATTTGAGCATGTCGGGATATGGATCTCGGTATCATTTAGGATTTAATTTTTTTCGGGAGCCCTGGAGGTACCGAGTGTAACCGTGCCGGTGCCAAGGGTGCCAAGGGTGCCAAGCGCACCAACACTGGGTGGTGGTGTTGGTGCGCTTGGCATATTCACCCGACCATATATTGGGAGAAAGGCTATGCTAGCGCTTCCAAGGTTTGTATAGGACTTTGTAAGAGGGTTCAGCAACCTTAGAATACCAAGAACACGGGGCAACTGTTTCTTGCTGTCATACATTCAAATCTGTGGGGAAACATATTGCGGGGGATGAGTTGGGGAAAATAAAACACCAAGAAGAACCAATAATAACACTCGTGGCCCCCCGAAGGCCCCCGAAGTATGCCCGCAGCTGGACTTTCCAAGGTTAATGCCTCCCGAGGTCCACTCTCACCGAAAAAAGTTACGTGAGGGAAATACTAGATCGAACCTGACATACCCCAGACAATCTCCCAGTATCTTAGTCACTAAGCCTCTCCAGGATTTGTCTCCACTACAGGGAGCGAAAGAGGAGATACTTCTGGGCATAGATAACCGTAAAATTTGACCCCGGAATTCGCTTAAACCCTGTGCGTTGGGACCATATAATCCCCGTGTCCCCCCCCACAGCTGCTCTCGTCTGATCAATTCTTTTCATCTCTGTGATTCTCGGTCAATTCGGCCTATAGCAAGATGGGTCACCCCGATGAGATTAACGCTCTCGAGGCGCAGCCCGACTACATTGACAACTCGGGAGATTTCAAAGAAACTGAACAGGATGAGCCAGCTCAACTTCACAGAGAGCTCAAGTCTCGTCACATTTCTATGATTGCCATTGGTGGTGCCATTGGTACTGGATTGGTTGTTGGTACAGGTAGCGCTTTGACGTGAGTTTGTCTGATAAAATTCCTTCATGAAACACTACTAACTGTGAAATTTAGAGCCGGAGTATGTTATATATTCCCCCAACTCATCTTTTGCCGTTAACTAACCATTCCCAGCCTGGATCTTTGCTTATTGCCTACTGTTTTATGGGTTTCGTCGTTTGGACGGTTATGTGTGGACTGGGTGAAATGGCTGCTTGGCTACCATTGGCCTCCGGTTTCACTGGTTACGCTGGCCGTTTCTGTGACCCTGCTCTCGGATTCACCCTCGGATGGTGGTGAGTTACAATTCCCTAAACTAATATACATCGGAAAATCTAATCATCTCATAGCTACTACCTCAAATATATTATTCTACCACCTACGCAACTTACCGCCGCTGCTCTGGTCATTACCTATTGGCCGAAAACATCAGCAGAGAATGTCAATCCGGGTGTTTGGATTGCCATCTTCATGGTGGCAATCATTGTGATCAACTACTTCGGCGTGAGAATTTTCGGTGAATTAGAGTTTTGGCTCTCGTCTTTCAAGGTGATTGTCATTCTCGGAATCATTTTGTGCTCTTTCATCTTCGCAATGGGTGGTGGTCCCGACCACGACAGGAGAGGTTTCCGCTACTGGAATGAACCCGGCGCCTTCGCCACTAAATATACCGGTGGTTCTCTTGGAAAATTCCTTGCTTTTTGGTCGACCATGGTGCAGGCCACCTTTGCATACCTCGGTATGGACATTCTGTGATTCAAATTGCCCCCTTTCACCTTCTAATTTTCTTTTTTACCAGGTACCGAACTCATTGGTGTGACCGTCGGAGAGGCTCAGAACCCCCGGAAGACCATCCCCAAAGCCATCAAGCTCACCTTCTGGCGAATCCTCGTGTTCTATATTCTCAGTGTGCTCTTCCTTGGTATGCTAGTCCCATACGACTCTCCGGATCTGGTTTTCGCTACCAAGGCCAAGAGCTCTGCTGCCGCCTCGCCTTTCGTGGTGGCAATGAAGCAAGTCGCCGCTCTTCCCCACATCATCAACGGCTGTATCCTGGTGTTTGTGTTTTCAGCCGCCAACTCTGATCTGTACATTGCGACTCGAACTCTGTACGGTCTTGCCCGTGAGAAGAAGGCTCCTAAAATCTTTGCTCGCACTAACCGAGCTGGTGTCCCAATCTATGCTCTGGCACTGTCGTCTTCTTTCTGCTTGCTCGCCTTTATGAGTGTTTCCAGTGGCTCCAAGGATGTCTTTGGATACTTCACCGATATGGTGTCAATCTTCGGATGTATGTTCCCTTCTCTCCCGTCTCCCAAAAATAACTCGAAATTTATCCAGTATGCTGACCTACTATCATAGTGTTGACATGGATCTCCCTCTTGATTACTCACATCTTCTTCATTCGCGCCCGACGTGCTCAGGGTGTCGATGAGACAACACTGGCCTACAAAGCTCCTCTGGGGATCATTGGTTCCTGCGTTGCGCTCTTCTTCTGTGTCTTGGTGGTCTTCACTCGCAGCTTCGGTGTGTTTATCCACAACCCGGCAAAATACGGCAATTTCGACTACAAGACCTTCATCACTTCCTATATTGGAATCCCCCTCTACATTATGGCATTTGCTGGGTGGAAGATGTGGAAGAAGACTGAGATTATCAAGCCCCATAACGCTGATATCTGGACCGGCAAGGCCGAAATTGACCGTGAAGAGGCCGAATATCTGGCTATGGCGGCCATCGAGGACCAAAACCTGTCTGGCTGGAAGAAAGTTTACAGGAATAGTCTCGCGTTCCTTTTCTAGTCGCGTATATTTTGTTTAGATAGATTCTTTCACGAGACATGTTTCGATAGAAGTTTATAAATGCTTTCAGAAGTGAATGAAAGAGTTATGGATTATATTAATGGCCCAATGGTTGTCTACATTTATTATCTTTTTGTTTTTGTATCACTCGGGCGAAATATTTCTTCTTGCTGTTCAAGAAATAGCGTGTACACTCAGACGATATCGAAGTCTAACGTTGATCAACGCTGAAAAATCCATTGAAATAGTTTAGTTGCGTGATTTTATGGTTAATTAAGGTTTTAACAAGGTTCTGGGGCTTGATTATACAGGCAATTGTTTTCCTAGTACATTTGTTATATCGGGAACACTACTAGTAGACTATGTATGTACATAGTATACTCGCTCGCGCGATAATGAAGCCGTAAGCTGTTATTGACAAACCTCTGATCATCGCTGGATATCTAATTCCCTAGTAGCATCGTCTAGCTATGAATTACCAGCCAGTCTATGGAAACATGCGGTAATTTGTCATTTTGTAAAATCGCCTTGAACGCCAAGTTTAAAATAACTCTAACCACCCTAAATCTCGAAACTTTCCACCATCCTCTATATAGCCACCTAAAAAACCGTATTTAGAACTATAAACGCTGACTGACCCCAAAAATTATGTAATATCCAGCGGCATCCGCCTGGGCACGGGTGCTCACAGGCAGTTTTACTTAGTGCTCAAAAATGGCAAGAGGTGAGAACTAAAGCGGAAAGGGAAAGCCATCCATATGGACTAGCATCTACTTTGTCCTTTCGTCTTTGCTCATAGTTGGCACCATATCCAAACGCTGTATCCATAATTTAGAGTGTGTCTCACTCACAATACCTGAATATTTCTCCATTTGAATGTCATCCCCCAAGTATACAACTCGGAGGGCGAGGCCTCGATCTATATGGCTACATACCTAACAGGCCGAAAACACCTTGTTGTAGATTGACGCCTGAGGTGTCCACAGTTCAGTAACGCTCCGTCGGTACATATCTCGCTTTTCCACCCAAATTCTCTTTCCCATAATCTCGATTTAGTATTTTTTAGTGAAAGAATAGACTTATTATAGTAACTTTGCCTTTGTTAATCATTGAAAGTTGCCCAGGTGAAGACCATCAGTCGAATTACTAATACAAGAATTTGTGTGGTGGCTCGGCAACAAGATAATCCGTACCGGTGATCGCACCTCCGGACTTACCTTGACGCACCGGCTCAATCTAAAGGCTTGCTACGGACTCTTGACGGATTTCAGGGATTTCAGGCAGTAAGTCAAATGACACGGGGACATAGAACCAATTCTGGCCCTTACAACCTCGTGACCTTCGTGCGTCAATGGGCTGATATTAAATCATAGGTCAGAGTCTTCTCACCATGGCCCGCGGTATCGTGAATGCCGCTAAGTCGGCATCCAATGTCTTCTCTATCAACCAGGTAGGTCATATTGACAGGAATTAGGAGACCAAACTCCATTGCTGTGCGCTGGGTGCTGATCCTCTTTGCGCTCTAGAAATACACAGTCCAGTCCACCGGCATCTGGGAGCGCATTCGTCGCCTTCTCGCTGTCGACCCTGAACGCTCCACCGGTATCCCCCTGAACTCTCAATTCCGTGTTCCCACCCCGGGATCTGTGCCTCCTCTTGCCTACGATGACCCGGTTACCCTTCCCGCGGGCGATATTGCCGACAACCCCTACTGGAAGCGGGACGTTCGGAGGAGCTACCCTCAGCTGAGCACCGTTCGCCAGGCCGACGCAGTCAGTCTGCTCACAGTCGGAAGCCAGGCGGCTCCCAAGGACGACGTTCTCAAGATCGGACAGGCCGGAGAGCAGCAATTGGTTGCTGTCAAGGAGCAGGGCGAAGAACGCGGCCTAGCGGCTCTCTTTGAACAAGATAAGAAGAGCGTTCAGGGTGTGCTGGGTGCCAACGGCTTGCCCCCCAACCCTTGCAACATCAACACTGTCTCGAAGCCTTCACAATCCAAGTACGAGCTTGGTACAGAGAACGGCTACCCCGAGAAGTATGCATCTCCAATTCCCCATTCTATCGCTCCAGGCTAATCATTCTATACAGATATACCTGCCGCACCTTTGTTTGATTAGACCAGCACATTCTGCAAGGAAATACATTTTCATTTTAGTTTTCATGACTTCCGAGCGGCAACTGCAAGTCCGCCAGTAGTGACTATAAACAAATACCCGAGGTGCTCACTTTCTGTTTTTTTGACATGGGGCACTGGTGGAATATCGATCGTTCATACACCCAAAGCCTGGGTAAGACCGTTAGGAGGTAGAAGAGAGTAGTTACATTGTAGTCGGGCTTAAATTAGATCCAGCTTTTTTCCCCACTCGGCATGAAAGATCCCCGGATAACACAATCAAGTTTTCGGGCTAGATGCAGAACCGGAATGGAAAGATGTGAAAATGAAATCGAGTCAAGCGATCCTGAGATTTGAGGCAATCTCTGGGATATATTGTACTATATGTTTCATGTATTGCGAGCTTTCCAGCTTGCCAGCTTGCCAATCGCCCTTTGATCTACATCCATGTCCAGATCTGGCATGGATGGTGTCGCGTGGTACCTCAAGAGGGGAACGAATCATACAGGAGCTCGGTATTGACGAATTTCCTAGAGTATATAAACTATCTAACCTATTCTGAAAGTAGTTCTACGAAAATTAATTGAGTTGGGATTTTATCTAGATGGCGAAGTGGTGATGGTGATCTATGGTGCAACTGAATGCTTCTCAAGGTCCAAGATTTTGCCTACAGGGTAATCAATTAATTTCCCCACAACGTAGCTCATATGAAATTAATGATATTTATCCAACATTCTCGAGCATTTACCTTGATTTCCTCTACAAAACCTTGAATGTACAGGTAGCTAACCCCGTATGCGAGTTGACGTCATGGCCCTCCGCATCCTACAGTCCCGCTGAATCATGACGACGTCACCTCCAAACCCTGGTTGCAGAAACGCCCTCTCAGTACTTAAAGTACTTTAGCTCTTCAACTTTACTTTCCCCTCTACACCTACCATTCAAAATAACTTCAAAATGACTACCCTCCATTGTGAGTTGATGTCCTCATCCTCAGACTGCCATTTGGAAACTGGAAACTAACAACCTTTACTATATAGATCTTCCTCCCGTCAAGCCCTCCGCTATTGCGCTGGGTACAATCTTCACCCACACTGCCTCCCTGGGAATCCTAGCCCCTGTCTTCGGTGATACCTACCACCGCGCTCAAGCCGCCAACTCCAAGGAGGAATTCATCAAGTCGAAGGAGACTGCCGGCGCAGCCTGCAGCCTGGGGAAGCTCCCTCGTTGGAAGTGCCGTACAGACCTACGGTGTGGCTGCACTTATCAATGCCACAGGCACACTGAGCTACAAGGGTGCTGCGTATCTGGGTACACTTATTTTCTTCGCAAGCTCAGCTCCAAGCGTACGTTCTCAACAATCCTCCTACCCTACAATCCCGAGCAATTCCTCTGACAAAATATACAGGTTGTGAGCCAGGTCTTCTCCGAGAAGCGACCCCTCGACACTATCGCTGTCGGTGCGGTCTCGAGGGTGTTCGAGACTGTTGGACTCAGTTTGTTCCTCACCTGGTGGGGAACACGTACTAACCCCTTCGACTAAATGATTGGAGAGAGTGAGATGAAAGATCAAGCAAGAACTTCTGGTTGTGATCGGATGTATTTCCCAAGCTTTCACTTAACTAGTTAATGGATGTAAATGTACACGAATATGACATCGACGTATTCCAATTTTCCTTCCTACTGCACGTAGCATGCGGTGTTAGTTGTATATAAGCTAGAATTGGCTGTTATAAGTCCAAAGTAACTTCAAAGCATGGATGCAACGTTATTGAGTTCTGTCTGATAGTCCTGGCCTCTGGTAGGTAGATGTAGATCCATATTTCAAGCTTAACGAGCAATTAGGTAAAATGAACCCACATGGATCGCCAAGTCCCAGTCGATGAAAAGTCCCCACGCAAGCTTAATGGTACCTTTGTTGTATATGGCTATATTTGGATATAGAAAAATCCTACGTATTAGAAGTCACTTATAGAGCCCTCAATGTCCTACTATGTCAATAAAAACATAAGTATCGATATCGATCTACGTTCGCACGGGCCCAAGCTTGTCTTGGCTAGATCCGGTGCATATGGTATGTATATAATGCACATGATAAACCCAGATATAGACTTGCACAAATAGAAAAATAAAAACTCCACAATTCTTTTGATTTGGCTCTTATATTTGATCCATATTAATAGGTAAATCGCCACTCAACCAATCATGTGATCTTTCTAGGTCTATTTTGCGATAAGCTACAGATCCCCCACTAAAAACTTTCTCTGATCAACAATCAACAATCAACAATCAACAATCAACAATTCACAAATATCCCACAATGATAGAAATACCAATGCCAACTCTCCCGGGTCCGGAATCGAGCCCACCCTCAAGTCCAGATGGACTCAAGATCAGCGAATCCCTGGCCCCTCCGCGCGAACTCAAAGCAGCCGTGACCACGGAAGTCTCGTTCGACGGACTCCTGAAAGAACCATTGCTATTAAAAGAAGACCTCAAAGATGGATGCGGAGGCCAATTATGGCCCGCAGGGATGGCCTTGGGCAAATATCTCCTTAGTCGTCACGCCACTGATCTATCTGATAAGACAATGTGGGTGCTGCTCGACTGGAGCATTTCCAATTCTTCTCGTTTCGTCCTAATCCAATTTTCAATAATAGCGTGGAACTCGGAGCTGGAGGTGGACTTGTTGGACTCGCCGTGGCACGCGGGTGCCATCTCGAACAGCCGATTTATATCACAGACCAAGAACCTATGTTTTCCCTAATGAAGTCCAACATTCAACTAAACAATCTTGGCCCGAAAGCGACTGCTGCGATACTAAACTGGGGAGAACCGATCCCAAACCAGATTCCTTCGAAACCAGATGTCATCATCGCGGCAGACTGCGTCTATTTCGAGCCAGCATTCCCTCTCTTGATCACCACGCTCCAGGACCTCCTGGGACCCAACTCGGTCTGTTACTTTTGTTACAAGCGTCGCAGACGTGCCGACATGCGGTTCATGAAGATGGCGAAAAAGGCTTTCGAAATGGAGCAAGTCCATGATGATCCTGGTGCTGAAGGGTATAATAGAGAGAGCATATTCCTCTACACGATACGTGCCAAACGTCTTGACAAGAAAAGTGACCAGAAAAGTGACACAAGATGATGATATGTGCAATGCTAGAAAATAGATTTTATGTAGAAGAAATATGACTCCTGAATAGTACATACTGGCCCTTTAATTCTCCCCTCACAATTTCAGATTGTCTCCTCTGTTTTTGGCGCTCTCGTGGACAGAGCCACCGTCGATATTCGTCATACGGCCCTCCTTGTCAATGACCTTAACTCCTCCCTTCTTCAGGTCTGAAATCATCTGCTGCTTCTCAGCCGCCTTGCCAGGCTTTTCCTGGGTAGGTTTGGCAGCATCGGCCTTCTTTTGAGTTTGCTTATTCTGGCGTCTGTTCTTGGCCTTCTGCTCACGGGTCATCTCCTCCTTGGAGATTGACGCGCCAGTCTTGAGGACCACCTCTCCCTTAACACGGCCATTATCACCGGGTGTGTAGATCTCCTGCGGCGCAAGTCCAACGGGGCCACCGGCAGCACCGCCAGCCGTTGGGCGTGCCTCTTCCATCATGATTGTTGGTGCGTCGGTAACGACGTTGATGCTTGCTTGGGCGACCTTGGGCTTGTAGTGCCAGTTGCATAGCGTATCCAATTGAGAGCTGACCTCGTTCCAAAGACTGGTGATCTCGGCATGTTCCCGCATCAACTTGTGGTCCTTAGTATCCACGAAGTTGGGATCATTAGCGCGAAGATGTTCAGTTTCATACATCTCGGCCAGACCTTGCTGTGGCTTGGTATCATCCAGTTCGAAGCGGGGTTTTCTTCCGGCTTGCTGACCCTCGGCACCTGGCCGACGGCGGATGACTTCGTCGAACTCCATGGCGAGAATTCGGCGTTTGACCAGTTCCTCGATGTCCTCGGTGGTCTCGTTGGTGTTGACGGGAACGGGCTTTCCAATTCGCTCAAAGTCAAGGTCTTCTTCAATGAGAGAATTGACGGGTCGCTCGACAGCTCTGGCCTCACCAGTATACATCCATTCTTTCTTGGCCACGTTGGCCGCCTCCAGACGACGAATTTCATCTGCGATCCGTGCCCTCTGCTTCTCATGTGTTGAGCGTGGGGCAGTAGGATCTGCCGATCCGTCAAGATTCTCCTCCTCTTCTTCCGCGGAGTCCGCATCAACATCGTCAAACAAGTCCCGTCGAACGTCATCAATGGCGCGTTTGACATCGCTCTCATCGACCGCTGGTGCATCGGGTTGGGTTTTCGGGAGGGCACGGTGTTTCTTGTTGGAGGCTTTGCGGGGTGGAGGTGCGAAGAAATCGGCGTATTTGATATCACTGGTGTTTACCCAGGCAGCGGCTTCACCATCGTCCATATCTGCGGCGTCTTCGTCATCAGAATCGGAGTCGGCGTGGAGATCGGCATTGCCGAAAGTCGGTCCTTCCTCCTCACTATCATCCATGTCTTCGTCTTCCTTTTCTGTTGGGCGTGAATTCTTCGATTTGTCGTCATTGCGAATGGTCGCAGCATTTCCAGCCATCAACGGGTTTGAATGCCAGTCGAGATCCTCCTCGTCGCTGTCCTCAGCCTGCTCGGGTCCTCCTGCGGCATCCTGTCTCTCTAAAGCCTCGGACTGCTTGTTGAAGTCGTCGATAGAGAAGAATCCGTCGTTCAGTCCAAATCGATCCTCGACAAATATTTCGGGCTCTCCTTCGGCGGAGCCAACTGAGGAATTATCATCGTCCATGTCTTCAATGTCTTCCATGTCATCGTCAGATCCCATATCGACCTCTTGGTCAGACGCTTCGTCGACATCGTCTTCGGCGCCTGAGCCCTCAGAGAGATCTTCAAGCATGCTCTCGTGGCTGTCGCTGTCGCTTTGCGCACCCTCGGGGTCAGAGATATCCTCAAGCTGCTCGGAGTCGGCCGACTCCATGTAGCCGCCATGTTGGGCAATCAAAGTGATATCGCGCTCAATCTCGTCGCCAGTCGACTCGAGAATCCGTGTTGCCTGTTCCCATATTTGATTCGAGGTGAAACCGTCCACGTAGAGGTTCTTCAATTGGAGCTGGGTGACTGAATCTGATTCGAGGTCCGACCTTTTGCGCTTTTTGTTGAGTTGCCGGCGAGTGGTCTGGGCGTCCACGACAGAACCAGCAAGGGAGTCCAGGATGTGCTTCGCAGAATCCACGACGGTGGTATGTAAATCGTTCGTGGGACGGAGGAAACCCCATGGCGAGGACAGAGCGGACGATAGAGCCATCTGTTCGGATGGTTGGACGGTATTAACCGATACCGACTTTGATTTGGTCTGCCCTTTCGCCATTGTGAAAAGAGTCAGGTAACTTGTTGGAATACCAAGAGTCTCGAGAAGCGGAAAGCGCAATAGAAAAAATTATCGCCGGGCGGACGGTCAAGAGCCAATCACGTCGCCGGTTGATAAGATAAGGATCGCCAGTATATCGGGAGGTCGACTGCTCCAACATCATACAACTAGAACAGCTGCTACTACTCTCTATACTGATTTACTATGGCTTCCTTTTGATGGGGTCGCTTCATATTCTATGGAAATAACCAAGATTGCAATTTTTGAGCTAAAGCTATTGGAAACCGTTCAAATATACTGGGCTAAGGATTTATAGGTGTGTGTAGCTTTGGTTAATGTTTCTCTATTCTCTTTCTTTGCTCTCTTCTAACAGGCAAAAAGAAAAAATACATGTGGTTCCTACAGGGATTACACGTGAAAAAGCAGAGTTTCGATTGTTGTATTTTCGAGCTAACTAGGTGAAGCCCTAGAACGCCACCAACTACCTAAGCAGCGGGCAAATGACGCCAAACCTCTGTCATACACATATTATATTGATAACCTCGACGGCAAACGTGGCACAGAGGCAGTTCAGATATGGATATCAAAACAGGAGAAGGAAGTGTCATCTAGGCATCAAACACTTCCGATTGGACATACAAATCGTCCCCAGAATGGTCAACTTGTGGCTACAACAACGAAGGATCGAATAGTCCAACGTGATCGATTAACCCACCGCCACAGGTAAGGTCTAGAACAGAGATGCTCTCATCACTGGTAGGTTGTACATCGCCCCAATATAGGCAAAGCTTTGAAGCAATGGAATGTAAGTAGGTCATCATAGTGACATTGATGGCCAGCCTTGGGTTTTGGTGGCCATATATCACTTGTCTTACTTAAATGATTGGTTTCCTGCATGGATAATTGTACCATCTTCTCAAATTTTACAAAAGTTGTCTATATCCACTACTCTTGTCCGTACTAACGCCCTAAACCTGCCAATATGCCGGTTACCCAGTATATCGAGCAAGAGGCCAGCGGGTCTAAATCCCAGTTTGCGCCAGGTGAGTAAGTGTTGTTTGTCTAGATATTGATTTCTGACACAATACTTCCTCATATAGGCCACAAGATTCCTGTTCAACACTTGTCAAAGCCGGGTCTGCAGTCCGACATGGGAGAACCCAAGCCTGTGTCTAATCATATTCCTACCGAGGATTACGGTTATCAGATCTACAAAGCCGCTGGAAAGCTCGAAGGAAAGAGAGCAATCATCACTGGTGGTGACTCCGGAATTGGCCGGGCAGTTGCAATCCTGTTTGCAATGGAGGGTGCGTCAAGTGTCATCGTTTACTTGCCAGAAGAGGAGACGGATGCGCAAGAGACAAAAAAGAGAGTCGAACAATATGGACAGCAGTGCCATACTATCGCTACCGATATTCGCAAGAAGGAGAATTGTCAAAAGATCATCGATGTGGCTCTGGAAAAGATGGGTCGCATTGACATTCTTGTGAACAACGCGGCGTTCCAAGACATGCTGAGTGATATTAGCGAGCTCGATGAGTGAGTTGCCTTACATTATTACTGGTCTTCGGCCAATGCATCCTACTAATGCACCAAAAGATCCCAGTGGGAGAAAACCTTTGACACCAACATTCACTCCTTCTTTTATCTTTCCAAATATTCTCTTGTGCATATGAAGACGGGATCTACCATCATCAATTGCGCATCCGTCAACCCTTATATTGGCCGAGGCGATCTCCTGGATTACACCTCAACTAAAGGAGCAATTGTCGCGTTTACTCGCGCCTTGTCAAACCAGCAGTTGAAGAAAGGCATTCGAGTCAATTGTGTTTGCCCAGGTCCAAGTAGGTCATCCACATCTCTATTTTAGGTCAGATACTAATAAGACAAGTCTGGACGCCCCTAATTCCCTCAACAATGCAAACCGGGGCCATGGAACAGTTCCATACGGTGCCGATTGGTCGACCGGGTCAGCCTAGCGAGGTCGCAACATGTTTCGTTTTCCTTGCAAACCAGGACAGCAGCTATATTTCCGGACAGTGTTTGCATCCCAACGGAGGTATGATGGTCAATGGATAGGGGGAAGCTGCAAGGAATCAAGTGTGTTGTTCCAGTGTTTTAAACTGTATAGATTGGAATCCACAGCATTCAAAACAACCTGATAGTTCCCGACTCATGTCCCTAATAATCTACGCCGAACACGTACACCGAGACAAATAAACCACCATAGATGGTGCCATGCATGCAATATCTGTTATCTTAGTGTCGTTTGTTGTGGTTGTGACTGTACACTACCACTCACTCGAGTTGAATCACTCTGCTTCACCACCTTCCTCCTTAGTATCTTCCACACTAGCCGCATTGGCAACAATCTTCTGTACGGCGTCCACAGTTGCATCTGGGCCACCAGCCTCGCGAAGCAAGACCTTACCCTTCTTATCCACGGCAAAGACACCTCGCAATGTACCCTTGGGGGATTTCTTGAACCCAATAGCTGCAATAAGAGTGGCCTTGGGGTCACACATGAGAGGGTAAGGTAGGTTTTGTCTTGTCTTGAACGTAGTGTTGGCCTTGGGGGAATCGCCTGAAAGGCCGTAGATAGAAAGACCAGTAGAAGTCAAGTGGGTGTGGTTGTCACGGAACAAGCAAGCTTGTTTGGTACCTGGATGAAGCGGCGTAAGCGATCTGCTGGAGTAGGATAATTGCAAAGTATTCAAAGAACACAGCCCGGTCCTCTCAAGAGAAGCACTGAGCATGATACAGGGACTTACAGCCAGGTGTTGAGGCTTTGGGGTAAGTAAAGAAAACAACGCCCGACTTGCTCTCCTCGAGGAGCTTCTTCAAAGTTGTTTTTTCACCCTCGTTTGTCTCAAACTCGCCACCGAAAGTTTCTATGTCGATTGTATCATCCACCTCAGGGACCGTTGGCGCGGGGCTTTTTTCAGTATCATTATCGGTAGCATCTGCGTCTTGTTTGGGCTTGGGAGCTTGTTTTGTCTTCTTCTCTGCGACGGGGAGTGGGGCTGGCGCCTTGCGTTTCCTGAGTTCGACCATGGTGTGGAGAAAAGGAGAAATATAAAAGACCTGGATAGGGGAATATGTATTGAATAGACTTGATTGGACGTTCTGGAACATATCAGCTGCATATCTGCCCAGGTGTCTGGTGCAAGCTGCGCCTCTGATTAGATAAGCAAGAGCCGGGAAAACCCGGTGGCGATGTGGCGCTGTGGCGCTCCGAACGCGCCCTGGTCCTGACCCGAAGGGAAAAAAGAAAGGATTTTCCCCTCAGACGGTAGATCGTTAAAATCCACTCTTCTCCATTTTCTTCTATCTGACTTGCTCATATTTGCCTCCCGATTCCTTCTAGACTTAGACCTAATTCACTTTCTGCAACCCCTGCACATCCCATCTCTCACACTCAGCTTGAATCAGTCTTACTTTATCTACTCGGCTTCCTTAACACTACAATTCTATCCGATCCTATCCACTACAGCGCTTGTCAAGGCTGTCCTTCATCCAAATACCATATCCCAAAACCACGCGACCCAACGGCATCGTTGAGGTGAACTGCGACTCGCCACTATGAAGGTCTTCTCTTCCGGATGCACGTTCGACTACTCGTGGGACGAAGTATCAACAGCGAACTGGCGCAAGTACTGTCCTTGGAATGATAAGTCTACACACGTCGTGGGCGTAGACACGCTCTCTCGAACCGTCGACCCAAGCACTGGCATTGTGAGTCATTCAACCTTGAAACACAACTCTCAAAATACACTGAAACCTTTGTACTGACTTTTGCCTCTAGTTGCGAACCGAGCGTCTTATCACGTGCGATCAGTCTGTACCACAATGGGTTCTCTCGATTCTCGGTGGATCGAATACCTCTCACGTCTACGAAATTTCCTATGTCGATCCGGTCGCTAAGAAGGTGACCATGTGCTCCACCAATCTGACATGGTCGAACGTCCTCAGCGTCCGCGAGACTGTTATCTACCGGCAATCCTCCCTCAGCCCGGCCACCACAACCGAATTTAGCCAAGAAGCAAAAATCACCGCCCTCTGCGGTGGATGGCAAAAGATCAAGAACAAGGTCGAAGAGGCAAGCGTGGATCGGTTCCGTGAAAATGCCAAGATGGGCCGCGAAGGATTCGAAAGCGTCCTCGAGATGAGTCGCCGCGTCTTCGGCGAACAACGCGAACTTGAAAAGCAACGCCTCCAATCATAAGCATCCCATACCTTCGACATACTTCCCGCGACCTCTTTCCAACATCATATCTCTTGTTCTTTCTCCCCTCAGCATTCAACATCAAGCGACTACTGCATATTCCGGCGTCTGTTTTACATACTCAAGCATGTGGCGCCAAGTGGAGTTCTTTGTCTTAACCTGTCTTTTTTTCGATTCTCGACTCTTTCAATCTGCTCATGAATACCACCTTTTGCCTCACGAATCCGCATGGCCAAAAAAAGTTCTGCATTAAGTTATTTTGAGCGAGTTGTCTGCTTTTTGTACTGAGCAGCCCCAATCAAGAAGGCGGCACACATGTATTATTAGAATCTTTCAAATTTAGATCTGAAATTCTACTATCTTACAACATTTATCTCGATAAACTCATGTCTCATAAAAAGCCCAACCACATGTCCTGTCAAAACTGACCATGAACACCAGACCCAAATATATAGCAGCCAGACCCTGCTGCTATCCCAATAAACCGCCAAGCACCACCCGACTGACCCCAGCAACTTCACTCTTGACACTGTTTCGGCTCGCGTCTTCGAACTCACGCACTGCGCCGGCCACCATAATCTTTCGTAACCTGGCATCTGCTTTGGAAAATGTCTCGCCCAGGGCCACCGTACAGACAGATGGAGATGATACTAGAGCGGCGAGCCGGCTATAAGTGTCAATCAAGACATCACACAGGGTTGCAAATGTCTCAAAGAAGTCTGGCTCGAATGGCAACGATGGCGTTAGAAGATAAGTATATTCCTCGCCAGGATGAAGATCCGAAGATTCTGTGAGTGGGAAGGAGGTGACCGAGGCAGAGGAAGCCGATCCGAGATTCCCTGCCGTGTTCTTCAAGTCTGATGGGTCACTGGACTGCATTGGGAGTCCGATCTCGGTTGCAGAGCTGGCACGTCGGGTCTTGGTACCTGCATGCGTCGCCCGCTTGAACATTTGGGGTATACGGGCCCTTGCAAGACTTGACGAGGAGCTGCCATCTGGGGGATGCACTTGCTGGAATGCTTCAAATTCTAGTAGTAGAGCATTCAGGGCACGCACATACTCGAATGGCGTGGAGTTAACGTCAAGTATTGTTGGCAATGACAAGCCTAGAAGCAAATAATTGATTGCGCGGCGAGAAAGTTTCCGGGCTTCAAAGTATGGCAGACGAGCGATGTCAGCCCGGGAGAAATGCACAGTATTAAACCAATAGACTCGTCCTTCGTGACTATACGTAGCACGTTATAAATTAGTAGAGCTCAGGCCTGGCTGGGCTGCGATCCACTTACGCCTTTCTCAAATAGTCGAGAGTCGATATCCGTTTGGCGGCCATTTCATGGATGTGTTGATAGATTGCGCCTGCACTTTGCGGGCCGAGGAGGCCCCCTCCGCTGATGACTGGAGGTGGGATGCCATATGCCCCTTCATGTCCAGTACCGGACTTGGCTGTGTCCCGCCGCGTGATGCCCGGCGCAAATGTAGAGGGAATCATTGGCGTTGGTGGGCAATTTTGGAGCAAAATGAAATGATGCGACACGGACGAGAGTGGACAGGGGTCGATAGCAGGACAAGGCGGAGGTGTCAGAAAAGACGAGAGAGCAAGAAACCGAATAGACCAGACTAGATAGGCGAGTAGGTAAGACCCCAATATTTGTGTTCAAAGGTTATTGCGACTCAGGAGATCCGAAGAAAGTTCCCCGCAGGCCAGACTTGTGATGCCCCCCGAGGCCCGAAGATTACTGTATCCGTACCCCTATGTAATTTACCTTTGTCGATCACATCCCCTCCCCCTCCTATACAATTCAGATCTATACTTTGGAACAATTCTGAATTTGTTACAGAGTACTATTGTGAAAATGGACTCAACACCCCTCGAGGAGCAGGTTCCTCTGCCTGGACAATGGCCTGTTGATCCCCAGGAGGATTTACCAATCTCGGAGGACCGACTTTGGGTCGATGGATGCTTCGACTTCAGCCACCACGGTAGGTTTGCAATTAACACCTAGTCAATTGCTGTGAGCTAATTGATGGATCGCGCTACAGGTCATGCCGGTGCTATGCTCCAAGCCCGCCAGCTAGGAAAAGCCCTTTACGTGGGAATACACTCCGATGAAGCTATCCTCGAGAACAAGGGTCCAACAGTGATGTCACTGGAAGAACGGTTGGTTTGATCACATACTAGTCTTGCTGTTGGGTTCTGATCCTAATTTCGCCTGTTATCTAGTGTCGCAGCCGTTGACGCGTGTCGTTGGGCAACTCAGAGTGTTCCCTATGCCCCCTATGTGACCTACCTACCCTGGGTATCCCATTACGGGTGCAAATATGTTGTCCACGGAGACGATATTACTTCCGACAGTGATGGAAACGACTGTTACCGCTTCGTCAAAGCCGCTGGACGCTTCCGTGTCGTCAAACGTACCCCGGGCATCTCGACAACCGATCTTGTTGGCCGCATGCTGCTGTGCACCAGGAACCACTTTGTCAAATCTGTGAAGGGTACACTCGCAGGACTGGAAGGGTATGGAAGCCCCGAGGAGCGTAAGGCTTCCGCTACAGATCTTTTGCAGAGAATCAAGGATTATGCGACGGACGAGAGTGGTCTCCAACCTGGGCCTCAGGTGTGGACATGGACTGGCTCGGGCACCGCGAAGATGGACCAGTTCGTCGAGGAGGCTGGCCTGTTCGAGACGTTAGTCGACGGAAAGGGGCCCAAACCCGGGCAGAAGGTTGTTTATGTTGACGGAGGATTCGACCTCTTTTCCTCCGGTCACATTGCGTTCCTGCGCAAAGTCACGGAGCTCGAGGAGTCCGAGGGCCGGAAACGTGGCTGGTATGAGCCAGACCAAGTTGCAAAGAGGGTGAAGGACCACGGAGAGGACTATGCACCGTCCTATATTGTCGCGGGTATCCATGATGACGATGTGATCAACCACTGGAAAGGCTTGAACTACCCCATCATGAACATTTTCGAACGTGGTCTCTGCGTTCTTCAATGCCGCGTAAGTTTTCCTTGGTTTGCTTTCATCTGTTCAATTTGCTAACCCCTCGCCAAAGTACATCAATGCTGTCATATTCTCTGCACCATTTACCCCCAGCGAACCATATCTGAAAGCAATCCCATGGGGCACTCCCGATGCTGTCTACCATGGACCTACGACCTTCATCCCGCTAACGTATGATCCATACACTGCTCCCAAGAAGATGGGAATCTTCCGGGAAGCCGAACAGCATGCCTTCCAACACGTGAACGCTGGCGAAATTGTTGGCCGTATCTTGAAGAGCCGCGAAGCTTATGAAGCTAGACAACGCGCGAAGCTGGACAAGGCCATTGCTGAGGATCTGGTGAAGTCACAAGAGGCAGCCGAAGCAGCCCAAGCAGCTCAGTAGGCTGGGTGTCGATTTTTGAGAAAAATACTAATCATGTAATGAAGATCAACTGTACATATGATGTTAGACCTCATCAACTGGGGCTTCTTCTTGAACAAGCGTCTACCTCGTTCGTTTTGCATGGCGGCTTGTGACAATTTGGTCTACTGGGGCAGATAGATTGGAGATTACCTTCCATTTGTCAAATCAACAAAACAACTATCTGACCAGCAGGATATTGGGACCAGAATACATTAGGGACAAATAATTTTACAGAGACAGCTATCTATCAAATTGATAGGCTGACATCTTCCACTCGGGCTCGGCTGCTATTTATTCATCTGCCGCAACCAGGACACCCTTGGTCTCCAGAAGTTTCGCAAGCTCACCATTTTGGTGCATGGACATCAAGATATCACAACCACCAATGAACTCCTTCTCGAGGTATAGTTGGGGAATAGTGGGCCACTCAGAGTATTCCTTGACACCTGTAAACGCAGCACAATTAGCAATCCAAATCCGGCAGGAATTCCATTCGAGATAATCCCAACATACCTGAGCGCAGCTCTGCATCCTCCAGTACGTTGAAAGCAACAAACTTCTTGGGGTCAACACCCTGCAGGCCCAGGATTTGAATGGTAGCACGGGAGAAACCACATTGCGGAGTCTCGGGTGTACCCTTCATAAACAGAACGACGGGGGCGGAAGAGACCGCCTTATCGATCGCCGTCCGGGTCTCATTAGACAGAAGGCGTGCATGGAGGACAGAGGGAATGGAAGGGCCCGAGGGGAATTGGATGGCGGAGCGGACGGGGCGCAAAAAGGTTGGCCGCGAGACCGGGCGGAAAGCCTGCGGGTTTAATGTGAGCTGGGGATCTTGCGGAGAATAAAGAACATTTCATACGTACTGATGCAACTGCTCTGGAAAACATGATTTTGAAAATGATGATGGTTTACAAGAGAAGAGGTTCAACGTAAAGTTGCCTCGGGGAAAGGTTTAGTATTGTTTAATCAGCGGTTGGTCCGCAGGTCTGGTCGATCCCCACACATCTAAAGCTCTCTAGGGCTCTACTGTCCTGTAATCTTTTCTTGTTCACAATCTTTTCGTCTGCTTTTTTTTTTCACAATAAAGGTATTGCAATGGATTCTCAAATATCGCCTACGCCTTTTATTGCCCAGCAGTATACAAATGATAAGAAGATCCATGTGCTACTGGCAGCCGCTACCATTAAGCTGCCCAACATTGCGGAGGCGCTATGTCGTAATAAAAACATCTCAGTCCGTATACTAGTCAGCGAGCCAGCGGAGAAGTTGCTTGTCGGACAAAGCTTGGAGCAACCGGTCCTCGACACTGTGCTTCAAATAGATGGCGTGGACGCTATGTACGGGGACGAAGATGAATGGTCTCCGTCGTGGACGCGTGGAGGACCAGTCCTGCATATTGAGCTGCGAAAATGTCAGTTGCTAAGTAGATATATGATACACAATACAAAAAACCAACTGACATGATCATAGGGGCGCATATTCTACTGATTGCCCCAATGTCTGCAAATACCATGGCGAAAATGGCCAATGGGATTGCCGACAACCTGCTTCTCTCGGTCATCAGAGCCTGGGATACGACTGGTGTAGTGGATTCAGGATTCAAGACTCAGAAACCTATGATCTTTGTGGCCTTGGATATGGACACATGTATGTACCGACATCCAGTGACCGAGAAGCAGCTTAAAGTTATACGTGATCAGTGGGGATGGAGTGAATCAAACCCAGAAGGCTGGGTGACTGTGCTACCTCCCATAGAGAAGAGCCCGGCCTGTGGAGATGTCGGCACCGGAAGCATGATGGACTGGAGAGATATCGTCACTGTCATCCAAAAATACGTGGCGGGATCGGTGCAAAAGCCGTGAAGAAAGGGAACCAAGCCCTGAATGCATATTTATATTGTTACATGGTTATTGTGTTGACTCGGCCACCACAAGCTCCGGCTCCGTCGTATTGTACAGACCAAGGTACTGCGTCGCATATTCGGCGAGCAAGCCCAAGGAAATCCCTCCACCGGTCAGCAGGCATCCGTTCTTGAACCACCACCAGCAGTTCCGAACACTCTTCAACTGAACCTTCCAAATCATGAGACCAAGCGACAAAACAGCACTGCCGCAGCTGCCGACGAAGAAAACGGGTCCGCAACCGGCAGCGACTCCTGCAGCCGCAAGGAGCGAGACCTGAGTAACCGCCAGACCACTCAGGACAGCCTTGGTGTTGTGCTCATGGCGGAGGGCAATTGACTTGATCCCGGCCTTGACATCGTCTTTAATGTCCATGTGTGCATAAATCATATCATACAGAACTGTCCAAGCTATACAACTGGAATAAAGGGCACCTGCAGCCATCAAGGCATCATGATTGGCAAGCAGGTCCACCCCCAACGCTGGGAATCCCATGATCGCACCCCATGAAAAGGCAAGCCCAAGTACAGCTTGTGGGTAATTGGTCACGCGCTTAGCAAGGGGGTAGGCCACCACAATAGGCAGGCTAGGAATCCCATACCAAAGGCATTGACTAGGGAACGAAAGAAGCACGCCCAACCCAGCCACCAACTGTGAGCCCGTAAAGAGGACTGCCTTTTTCGGCGAGAGTGCACCTCTAGCAATGGGTCGGAACTTGGTGCGTTCGACGTGAGGGTCCAGGTTTCGGTCCCACAGGTCGTTGATCGCGCAGCCTGCACCGCGCATGATCAGCGCACCGGAAAAGAACAGTGCTACTGTGCCCAAGACGGGGAGAGGTGCCACGCCAGCCATTGGCGCAGCGAGAAGTGTGGAAAAGAGAGTTGGGAAGAATAGGTAGTATGTGCCCGTGGGCTTGTCCAGCCGCACCAATTCCGCATACGGTATCCATGAACTCGGCAGTGACGCGATCAATCCGGTCTTCGGTGGGATGTAGTGGGTGGCTGGGTTCTTCTCCGCATTATCCGTCTCGATTGGTTGTGTTGCGGGCGATTGCAAGTGCGAGCTGTGACGGACCTGGACTTGTGTTGTTCGCAAGGCATTGGATGAGGCACCAGCGAGAGATCGGCTGCCTTTCAATTGCATTGAGGGACAGGCATTGCGAGGGAGTATGGAAAGGCGCCCATTGTACAGACCAGTGAGGTTGACATTTTTCCTGTGTGGGGATAGTCGAGCGCGGAAGAGACGGGAGCTGGTGGAAAGCATGGCGAGGGCAGGAAATCTAGAAAGCGAACATGGGTCAATTAAGGCAATTGGCAATATTCATATTTCTTTCAGAAGCCTTTAAGGTCTGGCCACTGAAGATCTGGAGATGTCGGAAATTACATCGTCATGCAGGAAAAAGCGGCTTCGTTCCTGCCCCTAAGCCTATTTGGGGCATCAGATCTATGGAGTCGCCCTGTCACATGGTATTTGAGACTAAGTTTACATTGAGTGGTCATTAAAACCTTCAAGCTAAAGAAGCTATACTATGTCGGGTCCAAGTCCCTTAGAAATAAATATATATGTAGTTGAAATTATGAAATAAATGGGTGACAGTCCCAGGGTTCGCGTGTAGAATTCTGCCTGAGGCTATAGGACGCGGCGTCCCGCGTTCCCCCAGATGTTGATGATCGCCCGAACTGAAGGGAATGAGCTGCGACATAACTTTCTTTCACATCACTCTATCTGATTTTAGACCTCTCGACTCCCAAGCTTAAATTGACATCTTCTACTCTTCTGTTCAATCTACTGTGTACCGGCCCACTCCTCTGCTCCTTCCCACTCCGCTCTTATCTCGTCCCAACCATAATCACGCCCGCACAACAGCAACAGCAAAGACCAGCGCAATCCAGCCGGCTAGTCAACAATTCCGAGCTTCGTATGACCTCGATCTTGGCCCTGACCACCAACTGTCTCCCTCAAACCATGATCTTCGCGCCTGCGAGCGTCGCACCGATTACCACCAAGTAAACATCGATATCTTGGCCCCCTCTGGGGCTCTGTGCTCGCCATGCCGGCACATCGAACCCGCCTGGCTTTCGAGCCCCTCTCGCCTCTTCTGGACATTCATCGGGTGGTTGAATCTACCCCCAATTTCGAATTTGCGATGGGTATCACCTGTGACTCAATTGAGGAATTTCCGCTCGAAGACTTTGAGAAGCTTGTCCTGTTCCAAGTGGTCCTGAGCGGAAGACCGTTGGTCATCAGAGGATTCCATCAACGTCTTGACGAGGGTATTTTCTCAGAGAAATGGCTCCGAGAAAAATACGCGAAGAAAGGTGAGTTAACGCTCTCGAATCATCTCATCCTTCGTTCGTTGATACTGACTGCAACCTCTCTTAATAGTTGAGGAAGTTCGAGATCTAGTAAAAAAGAAGACGCAGAATTTCAGTATGGGCCATTACCTCGAAAGCCTGTCACTTCTCACTCGGCAGGTGACAGTTCACAACTACACCAACAAAGACGTCCAACGGCTCTACCTCAAGGATATCGATTGCCCTCCCGAGTGGCGCGCTTATCTTGAGAACCTGTTACCGCCCTCTTTGTTTTATCTAAACGAAGCACCCAAAGCATTTGAAGGCCCTGCGTCTGGAAAAACGAATCTGTCTGGAATCCCCAAGTCCACCCAGGGCGACCTCATCGCGCCAGCGGGTGATTTGATGAGCAGTCTGCCTACAAAAATGCGCGCGGAGAATCTGATGTGTTATATCGGTCATGAGGGTACGTACACACCAGCACACCAAGAGATGTGTGCGAGCCTTGGTCACAACATTATGGTCGAGGCGTCCGATGGGTCTCCAGAAAACGGCAAGCCAACGGAACCGGGATCGTCAATTTGGCTCATGACAGAAACCAAAGATCGGCGAATTGTTTCTGAATACTGGATGTCCGTTCTTGGTCATGATATTGACATCGAGGATTTCTTTGCTCCCTTGCATGCATGGGAGATCGCACCATTCAAGACCTGGGTGGTAGAGCAGAAGCCCGGTGACCTTATTCTTGTACCCCCACTTGCTGCACACCAGGTTTGGAACCGTGGCACCCGGACAATGAAAGTTGCCTGGAATCGCACTACTGTTGACACGCTTGAGCTGGCTCTGCGTGAAGCTTTACCGCATGCACGAATGGTCTGTCGTGATGAACAATATAAGAATAAAGCTATTGTTTACTTTACTCTTGAGCGGTATTCAAAATTGTTGCGGCAAGCAAAAAAAGTTGACCATCCGGTGGTAGTTCAACTGTGGGACGATTTCAAACGACTGTTCAATATGTACAAGGACATTTTGTTGTCTGAATCCTTCTCACAAAAGAAGCCGGAGAAGAACGTCGAATACCACGAGTTTCAAAGCAACGTCACCTGCTCATTTTGCCGATGCAACATTTTTAACAGGTTTCTTACCTGTCCCGGTTGTGCAGATGCTCTTGGCGGCGACGAGGACCCTTATGATATATGCATGGATTGCTACGTCATGGGTAGAAGCTGTGCCTGTGTTTCCAACCTCAAGTGGATGGAACAATTTCGATGGAAGCAGTTGACAGACCAGTATGAATCATGGCGGCGACTGATTATTTCCTCCGATGAGAACAACAATGATTTGAAGGCTCAGTTCCCCACTTTCATTGTTGCCCGAGGAAAGGCAGGGAAAAAGTCTGTGGCGGAGATCTGTCAAGAGCAACTGGTGCGGCGCCCCTGGAACGACCCTAGAAAGCCCAAGCCCCTGGTAGACCATGCGCTTGAGGATGCCGGTAGTGAATCCGAAGGCAACAGTCGGTCCAAAAAGCGCCGCAAAGTGCGGCAGTCTCTCATGACCAAATCAGATGACGTCCACCGCTGTCACGTTTGCCTGCATTTCGAAGTGAACTGGAAGCTCGCGCCATGCTCAAACTGTGACCAGCGTTACTGTTACGGCAGTTTGTTCCGCGCTTTTGAAATATCCCCCCAGCAGGCCATGGAAAAGCATCACTGGCTCTGCCCAAAATGCCGCAAGGAATGCAGCTGCGGTGCCTGCCAGCGTGACCCATCCATGAAACCATATGAGCCTAACTGTACCATTCTGGGCCATGACACCAGTAAGGTTGCCGATCCCCGCAGCATCGAGACCTTGGTGGATTTCCGGAAATCGAATCTGTGGTGGTTGAAGAAATTTGGCGATGATGTTCATGGACGCATTCAAAAACGCCAGAAGGAAGCCGAGGAAGCTGAATTAGAGCGCCAGAAGACCCTCGAAGACCAGGGTTTCAGCTTTGAGTCAAGTCCGTTCGACCAGCCTGCACAGAATGATAACGGGAACGGTCTGGACTTTGATGAAGACGACGGGGGCATCCCCGTTGATCCATCGTTGATGGTCCAGGGCTCTGTTACGAGCGGGGGCACTTGAATCGACTCACGAACTTTGCTGGATTTGAGAGCATACGATAGAGATGACTACGGATTACGGCAAGCATTGAATATTTGCGAAAGGGTGTTTGATTAAGGAAATCGGATGTATGATTTGTGATTCCCCGAAGGGTTTATCTCTTCTGCGACACCATGGTTTAACAAAAATCTGGCTGTACTACTTTAATAATGAACATATGTATTCAAGTTGAAATCAAGTTGAATTCGTGAATTACTGTTGGCTAGGCACCTTTGTACTCGTACTGTAGATCCTTGAGGGAAGCGAGGTCAACAGAGAGCATGACCCTTTGAGCAAGTAGAATCACTGCGAGCATGACTGTACATGGTCAGACTCAGTATCTCCCAGCCGAAAAGAAGAGAACTTACCTCCAGGAGTCAAGTATAGGACTGGTTGGACCCCATAAGATGATCCTGTATAAAAATAGACCACAGCCAACAACAAGCAAACTGTACTGGTGCCAGGTACCAGAGCCGCATGAAGGCGAGCAATACGTTCAGTGTGGAACGTCATAGGCTTCTTGCCTTTGCGATCAGGCTGGAGAGGAGAGCATTTCATGATATAGGCCGTTGTCAACAACGAGACTAGGCTGAGAAGCGAGAACAATCGTTCAGCCTGACTGGAAGCTGACAGCACCGAAGGCACAAATACTGTAGCAGCAAGCAGTGGAAGTGCAGTAAAAATAATCTAGAAACATATTTAGCATTGATCCTCGATTATAAAGGAAAGAAAGATATGTACACTGTATTGGGCGTTGCGAGCATCATTCTGGCTCTGCAACTGCTCGATGATCCGTTCTTGTTGCTCTTCGTCCAACTCCTCTCGCTCGCCCTCTGATTCCTCTGGGTATCGAAACGCATTTCGCAATCTCACCGCAGCCATTTCTCAAATCTCAAAACCAAAACAAAAGCGTTGTATGCTCAGCCGTTGGTGGTGCAGTGACGTCGAAAGGTCAAAGTTGTTTGTCTTGTTTGACACTCTTTTCTTCCGCAACCTCTCCCCCCCCAATACAACCACCAGCCCGGCAAAACACCAAATAAACCCCCCAAACACAGCATGGTCTTCTCCCGAGTATTCACGCGGCGCGCCGCGCTCGCCCGGCAACACGCCCGACCCAACATAGCCAGTCGACGCACAATGATAGCTGCCCCAGGTCCTAACGCAGGACCACTGCTAGAACGACGTGCGGACCGCGAGCTACCGAACCCGAACCCAACTCGGAAGTGGCTTCTCACACTCCCGATTTTCATTATCGCGACGGGAGCAGGCATGCTTGGAATCTTCAATTACCAGAAGTCGTCGTCGAGCATCGTGAACAGCACGCTGTATGCGCTACGGACGTCACCGCGGGCTCGCGAGATCCTGGGCGATGAGATCTACTTCGCGCAGCAGATTCCGTGGATCAGTGGCGAGATGAATCAATTGCATGGTCGCATTAATATCTCGTTCTGGGTTAAGGGGACGAAGTCCCAGGGCAAGATGAAGTTCCGAAGCATTCGGCCGGATCGTATGAGCTATGTGAGTTTTTGATCTACATCATCATATACCCAGCCCCTAGATCGGTCACTAGCACCGGCTACCAGACAAGTCCAGCCGTCTTCGCAGCCACAGTCCACAGCTGTATAGCGCTAATGACGGCTGTTGCTGGCTGCATACCGCTGTGGACTGTTACTGCGAGGACGGCTAGACTTGGCGCTGTGTAGCCGTAAACTATGCCTGCGAGGATGGCTGTGCTTTATTTGGTTTATAGTGTGTTCTGTGATGGTTGCTGACTTCCTTTCTTCTCTTCTAGTTCCGTACCGAGGAATGGAGTCTGGAGACCGAGGATGGAACGGTTGTTCAATTGCTCGACAATGATAGCGATCCCTTCCGGAAGAACTGAATATTGGGGGAGAGTGTACAGATATAGAAGTGCATTGGCTCGGGCGTTTGGGGTCATTCTTTATGGGACCATTTGTTGCGTTATCAACATGGCGAAGCCATTGCTTTTTTTTCTCAATGGCTAAGAGAAAAAGGAAGAAGGATATCATTTTTTGTATCATATACAAACGCCGCTCAAGTCAAACAATATCGCGCGTATGGTGTAATAGTACATGGTCAGAACTAAGAAAAGAAATCTCCAATTAAGCAGTAGCGGTTTCCGTGGCAGGTTCCGCCGCCTCTGCCTGTGGCACTTCCGGCCATGGCTTCTTGATCGCATCCTGGATTCTCACAACACAGCCCTTGGGGCCACTGACGGCACCTGAAGCAAAGAATATATGTTAGCAGAGAATTCGGAAAAGGCTCAGAGCAGCTCGAGATCGAATCACATACCGCTGACAACCACAATACCATTCTCAGAATCCACCTTGAGAATCTTCAAGTTCTGAACAGTGTTCTGATTATTTCCCATGTTTCCAGCCATCTTCTTTCCGGGGTAAACACGGGAACCACCACCCTGACCAGGACCAGAAGAACCCATCGAACGATGCGTCAAACTAACACCGTGACTGCGATCCTGACCATGGAAACCGTGTCTCTTCATGACACCAGCAAAGCCCTTACCCTTAGTATTGGAGCGAGCATCAACAAACTGGCCCTCCTGGAACCAACCCGCCTCAATGCTCTGACCAACAGGGATAAGGCCCGCCTCGTCCTTAACGCGGAACTCAAAGATATGGCGCTTAGGCGAGAGCCCATTGACCGAGAAATGTCCAAGCATCGACTTGTTCACATTATTCGGATGTTTCCAACCAGCACCAACCTGCACAGCATAGTAACCGTGTCTCTCGCGAGTCTTGTGGGAGATAACTTCAACACGATCCAACTGGAGGACAGTGCAGGGGATGCGCTTTCCAGACTCGGGATCGTAGATAGCAGTCATGCCCTTCTTGATACCGATAGCGCCAGTGCGGAGCGGGAGGGAATTGGCTTTGCGGCGGAGAGCCGCTGTCGACGTCGACTCGAGGACTGGCAGCCCGGGGCCGATATTGAAACGACTCGGTTTGGGGGGGTTGAGAGATCGGATTCCGAACGAGCGCACGGGGATCCGGGGCGTGATCAATGGGGCACCCCATACGGGTGAGAGCTGAAGAAGCCCTCCTAAGCGCGGCGACATGGTGGGTTTGATATTGGGAGGGGAATTGGGGTGCTCGTCGTGGCTGAGAACTCGGGAAGTTTTTGGTGTTGGGCTTAGTCAGCGCATATGCACGCCCCCGAAGTATACAAATTCAAGCTGGCATGTTCTTACGCGTTTAGGGATAGATGAGAGTGGGTTCTTGTTCAAATAATATCAAAAAGCAATAGACGTCATCCAAACACTTCATCTAGCATATACCATTCCCTTCCACGCCAACACGCAATAGAACCCGCATTAATCCCTATCTCCGGCATACACAGCCGCAAGCCCGATCGGACCGGAAGCCGAAAACGCCGAGAGAAGCCAAAAAAAATACAGCATTCCATGTTCTCTCCAGACTCAACACCAATTCGCTCAATAAATCACACAACCCCCTCAATCAAGAACCACAGGGAAAGAGAAGCCAACCTACCATGTCCCTTCGCCCAACCCTCCTCACAAAATGGATCTCGCGCCCTAGCGAGATCCTCAAATCAACCCCAAGCTTAGCCTCATACCTCCACCCCACGGCCCGCCAATCCCTCGCACGCCGCAGCACATTCTTCGCCCCGGGACCACAAGCAACACGGCGAGGCCTTACCACAGCGCGCTTCTCGACGCGCACCCGGCCAGTACCGAACTCGTTCCAGCCCAAGCAGCGCCGGTTCAATTCTGGGTCTGCTGGCGGCGGCGGCGCTAAGGGATCCGGGTCTGGGGCTGGAGCCGGAGCCGGAGCTTCGGAGAAGGCGTCGCTATCGCAGCGGCTGAAGAAGCTATCGCGAGAGTATGGATGGGCTGCGTTGGGAGTGTATCTTACACTGTCGGCGCTGGATTTCCCATTCTGTTTTGCGGCTGTGCGATTACTTGGTGTTGAGCGCATTGGATACTATGAACATGTTGTTGTTGGGTTTGTTAAGGATAAGCTCAACACTGTGTGGCCGCAGACTAAGGGTTCTGAGGCGGAGGATGGGCAGGGGCAACTTGCCCAGGCCGAGGAGCGGAATCAGGAAGAAGCTAGTAAGTTTTCTGCTCTGTTGGTTTTTTGAGGAGATTGAGGTTCTGATTGGTGGTTTCTTTTTGCAGGTATCTGGACGCAATTGGTTTTCGCTTATGCCATCCACAAGAGCTTTGTGTTTATTCGAGTGCCGTTGACAGCGGCGGTGACGCCAAAGGTTGTGAAGACGCTGCGTGGATGGGGGTGGGATATTGGGAAGAGAAAGCCCAAGAGTACGTGAAGGTGATGTGATTATATAGCATAGCGGGAGATACAGGACTTGGGATTCGGACCATTGTACATTATTAGCCATTCAGCTCTCTAATACGGCAAAAGAAAAATTTTTGCCTTCTCCTCTCTCCAGACGATCTACATGTAATCGACAACAGCCAAACCCAGACAAGCCCAGCTCCATCTCCAGCGCCCAAGATGAGATAGGAAATGAACAAAGGATAGAAAGCAATAAAGAGAACGTCGCACGCTAGGGACTATCTCTGCTGTTTGAAATAACTAGCCAAGAGCAAAATAGAGAACATGAAAATAAAGCAAATATGGCGTGGAAAAGGCTACTAAAGCTCGTAATCTTCGTTGTGGAAATTAAATTGCGACGTATGTAAAGGGTGTGTGTTCCCAAAGGAAAGCGAGAGTGAATCGGATCACATATCGATCATATCGTTAAATCTCAGAATTCCGTTGGCTCTCATCACACCATTGACACCGTCGGGCATGCGGTATGCCCATTCGGCAACGCCCATGGTATCGGTGGCGGGGAGCTCCTCGAATCGATCCGACTGACTGACCTCATCAGAGGTGTCGGCTACAAGCACAAGGCCGAGCTCCTTGATAGTTTCGACGAGCGCGGGAACGACATTCTACACGGTGGTCAGCAGGCAAACTAAAATAGAGAAGAGAGACAGCGCGAAAATAGGATCAAACATACCAAAAGGCTAGATCTGCAGATCAGGCCCATGAAGTTGTTGCTCTGGGCAATACGAGCAGACTCCTTGATCGACATTGAGGCCCGGCCACTGCTATTGACATGGGGCATCGAGTCAACGTTCCCAGCCAGGTCACGAATTTGACCAAGATCGTTGCAAAGAAGAACAGGATCTAGTCATAGAATTAGTATCACGCACGAGTTGGACTGTATTTCAAGGAGACTCACAGTTGGGTTGCTTCCAGTTGAGAGCACTGCAGATGTTCGGGTTATAAGAGGTGAACACCACGGAACGCATGAACTCCGGGTTCTTGTCACGGGCCACACGGGCATGATCGAAGACATCGGTCAGGATAACATCGGCAAAGCTGTTGACATCCGCCAAAGAAGTCATGTTGAGCTTCTTCTCCTCCGCGGGAGATGGGTAGAGGGGGGAGATATTGATACTCAAGTCAATAGGGAGTTGGCGCAAGACATCGCGTAATGGCAAGAACGACGCCGCCAGAAGTCGATGAGTCTGCGGCATGTCATTCGTCGCTTCTGTTTCCAAGAACTGGAGGATCTGGGTGTGGTTGGCACCGCGGTCTGCGCCAATGGCCTGAAACTGGGCATACGTCAAATGAGACACTGGGATATCGACTCCGTGGTGGTTAATCATAAATTGCGGGTAAAGGACTGCGACGCGATCCCGCGTCAGTTGTACAAAGAGCTGAACATAATCTCCCGACAAACTGGAACCAGTCACCAGTCCATTGTGCTCTGAGTCAAGAGCACTAGTAGCCTTCCAATATGTAGCAAAGTGTGTGATCTCCAGGGGATCGCCGTGGTATGGCTTGATCACTTGGAAGTTGAAGCGCAGCTGGCCGATTGTACGGAGCCGGGGGTCGAATAGAGGTAGACAGCCTGAGCCAGTGCTGGATGACTCGGCGCGGAAGATGTCTGGCAGGGCCACACTCTTTGCAATCACCTTTGAGCCAAAGGTAGGGAAGATCTCGAAGTCCACAGCAAAGGTGTCCAAGTTATCCACGTGGAACGATATTGTGCGTGTCTCTTCCTGGATGGGTAGCATGACAGTACGAGGAATGAGATCTGACAGCTTGGAAGAGATGGTCATGCGAGCAGCAGGATGGCGGCCCGCCTGATCAAAGGCGATAGACCCGGCATCTCCTTGATCGAACAGAAGCTGCACAAATACTTTCTTGTCGAGGAAATTGTGACCATAGCGGCGGAGAGGAATAATTGGGGGAGGCAACTCAAGGTCCGGGATGCCATCGGCCATTTCCAATTCAGAGACGCTGGTGACCACGGACATCGGGTCGCCCATCGGGCCGGGTTCTTGCATTCGCACGCCATTAAGAATGTCAAGCGGTCCCATTGCAGGCTTTCTACGGGAGGGCTGGGCCCATAGGAGGAGCATGCACTCCAGATGCCCTTCCCAGGCAGCATAGTACATAGAGGAGAGGCCCTTTTCATCTGGGACCTGGGCATCAACACCGCACTCGAGGAGGGTGCGTAAACAGGGGACGCAGCCTTCGCTGGCTGCGTGGAACAGCGGAGTCCACTGGTAAAGCTTGTCCTTCTGGTCGAGATCAGCACCGTGCTCCTTCAGCAGTAATAGTAGCTCTGGCGATTGCGAGGCGCGTGCAACCATATGCTGGGGGTAGAGACCCTCTGCATCCGGCAGCAACTTCGCATTTCGCTCAAGAAGCATCTTCGCGATAGGGAGAGAGCCGTGTTGACAGGCGAGGTTCAAAGGAATATGATCTGGGCCCTTCAAGGGACGATAGTCCATTCCCTTCGAAGGGGGCGACTCGGGCTCCGGGTCGACGCGGGCATTGCTACACAAAACCTGCTCGGCGCATGCCAGGTGGCCCTTTACAATGCTGTGGATTAAAGGGGTAAAATTGTCATGGTCCATCATGTCGACGGTTTGGGGGCCCGCTGCGAGCAGATGTCGCACCATATCCACGCGGCCGTGCATGCACGCATAGTGAAGAGGGATTCGACCATAGACATCAGCGCGGGCAAAATCAACGCCTGCCTGGAGACCTGCGTGGAAGACAAATAATCGGCCCGAGATGGCGGCTTCGTGAAGACAGTTTCGTTCGTTGATGTCATCCTCGGCGTGTATGTCAACCAATTGACTCTCCAATAGCAAAGCGAGCACTTCATCCGAGAACCCATTGATAGCGGTCAGGAATGTACGGGTGGCACGATCACGGGCGTCCGGCAACTGCTGCAACCTGGCCAGCCATTCACGTAGGTTTTGCAGATTGCCAGTGGAGGCTGACTGCAATATCTGGTTGTCCATGTCATCCTCTTCCGAACCCAAGGGTGCGGTGCGTTCCAATGGACGTGAGGCGTCATATTGAATGTTCTCGCCCTCGGCCCAGGCCTCCAATTCCAGTCGTGCGGTAGTAGCTCTGTCCGCAAGGTCTCGAAGAACTTCACGATTGAAGCATGGTTGCACTTCGACAGCCCGATGCAGATACAGCTCCTTCATGCGAGACTTGGAGGTTTTATCCCATTTCTTGAGGATTTTGGACATAGCAGTCTCGTTAATCTCAACGAATTGCTGCAGTTTGTTCAGGTCGCCATCGAATTGTTGGAAGCCTTCAAACATAGCAGCAAAATTCGATGGTGCTTTAGAATTTGAGATGGCTCGGGACTGAGTTACCCGCTTCTTGTCGACCAACGTCCTTAGGCGCAGAGAAAACTAAAGCAATCTGATGAGTTTCCGGATAGCGTTATGACTGTGCACTGGATAAATTGCCATACCTCTGATTCTTTCTGGAGGTAGAAAGTGTTGACTTTCTCAATTTCTCGTTCCTATACATCATGGTAAGTATAACCACCTTCCGATATGTAGGAAATTGTTCCGATAACCTACCAAGCGGAAGAAGAACACTTCCTTATTAGCGCGCAAAGCGCCTTGGGGGTCCGCATTAGCTCTCGCAATTTCCTCGGCTGTTCTCTGCGCCGGAATAGTCGGGGTGGCGCTGAGTTGCTTGATCAGCTGTGAAGGAATTAGCCATGCCCATATTCCCTCGCAAGCGGTCGGACGTTAAAACCAACCTTCTTCAGCGCCTTGTAGTTAACAAAGCTGGCGGCATATTCAGGAAGATCTAGCTGCCTGCGCTGGATCTGTTTGCCGAACTTCCTATCAAGTCAGGGCATATCAGTAGCAGCTCGAGTAATGGATCAGCCGGTAGCAGGAGCTGCAGGGCATACGTACATGTTTGCACACTCTCGGAGAGAGCTTTAGCTCTCCCGAGCTCTGGAGACCGAGGTCGCAACAGTAGCGCAAGCTCAACAAAACGGAGCTGAAAGCTATGAGAATGGGAGCTGAGCTGACTGTGCGAGGTAGGGCGCAAGGGTATCAATGGGGGAGGGGGAGGAAAAAAAGGAAGAGACAGGGTGGGATGACAAGGACACGTTTGGGACGGAACCAAACCTGGTAGGCTTCGGGGGCAAGAGGGGGCGGTTAATGCGCTATCACAGTGGGGAAGGATAATAGTGGGACAGGTAAACGACGGAGTGACACAAGTAGATAAAATGTGTGACGTTGCGTTGAGATGGTTCCCAGTATATCAAGTCAAGGGTTAGATGCTAAGAGCAGAAGGGAAGTTCAACCGATAGAAGCGGTGATAGAGATAGAGGCGATAGGGATAGCGGGGCAAAAACTCGAGAGACACATGTGGACATGTACAGGGACCAGGTACGAATGTTAGGAGGGTTTCTCTATACTTCGAATCAGAGAAGGGAAAAGCTGCGAGGTGCAATTAAGCCGGGGAGTGGGGAGCTGCGTGAATCATCCATCGCCAATCACCGTGAACGGCGGACGCACGTTGTTAACTTACTGGTAGCCACTGCAGCGGAAACGTACCGACTTTTATTCCGTACATAATTTTACTTTTAATATATTCAGCCAGAGTACATATGTATAGTACCTATTTAGTATGTCTTAGTATGTTTTAGTATACTTTAGTAACAGTTAGTATATTATTCTTCCGTTTCTAAGGCTATATCTTCGATGATTCTGCCGACCTTCTCCGCGGAACTATACCTCCCATCACATATCTAGGTATGCTAGGTAGACGAAAATCATTCAATGTAAACCTTTCATTTCAGTATACCAGATACAAAGACTTCAACAAGGGAACTGGGAGTAAATCCAAGACACCCGAGGCATCATTGCAAATCTCGAGTATGTCCAGACGCATGGAAAACTCCACACTCAGCAGGAAATGTACAAGACGGAGCTCCTTACAATTCCATGTAGACATGAACAATTAAAAAAAACAACCAACACAGACATAAACGAGGTGTGTAAAAAGAAAAGGCGAAAACAAACTATGCAGCTGAGACCAGATGCGCGGGATATATCAAACAGAGATGACCAAACCAAATCAAAGCTCGACAGGCCGATTAAGGGGGCGAAGAGAGAGAGAGAGAGAGAAAGAAAATAAAGGTGTAGAGGACAATAGAGACATGAAGTGAAGGTCCATCGCGCCGGGAATTGGAACATGAGAGACCCGAAATAAACGAATGAAGTCGGCGGTGGTCGAGATAGAATGAGCGTGTGGTATTGTGCAAGATCAAAAAAAAACACAAAAAAAAAACGGAAATGGAAATGGAAATGGAAATGGAATGGCGAGCTTTTGGAGATCAAAGATTATTGGAGGAAATCCGAATCAGTCAGGCCATCAGAAGTTCTGCGCAATACCGGCATTCCCCTGTCGTGGATATACACCGGGATTCTCGATGCGGGTATTACGGCGCGCCTGGACATCACGGATTACAGGTTGGTAGTCCTCGCCGCCGTATGCGCCGTGCGTGTTGATGTCGCCGTAGTACGGGTTCTCACCGTAGTAGCCAGCTGCGGGGTGGACAGCGGACATGTGACTTTCCTCCGATGCGTCTGAACGGTTGGCTGCGGAGTAAGCGGAGGATGCATTGGAGGGGCCACGGTGGATGTCGCCGTTGCGGTTGTTCGCAGCCACTGGGGCGGCGCCCAGAACGCCGATGGGTTCAACAATCTCGCCAGAGTCAGGCCGTGCGCCATCAGAATATTGAACGGTGCCTTCGCTGGGTGTTGCGCCGTGGTGATAACCGGGGCTGCTTCCTTCCGACATGGCCAGGCCACCTATTCCACCGGAGAGGTTGGTGGACGCCTTGCGGCCGGCAGAGGTGGTTCCCCAGCCGCGGTAGCCGGAGGATTCGTTGTCCTTGGGGACTACAACGCCTCCAACACCGGGAAGTGTTGGGTCATTGTTTGGGTTGAATCCGTACTCCTCCACTTCCTTGCGGCGCTCCTCCTCGGCCGCCTTGTTCGCCTTGCGCTTACGCCAGAAGAAGAGCAGCGCCAAGACGATCAATGCCACTGCGACAACCGGGACAACGACTGCGACGGCGATTGTGCCGCTAGGAGAAAGACCGCCGGAGCCTGCTGCTGTGGTGGAGGTTGCGAGCGCGGCCGAATCGGTTGCGCTAGAAGAGGTGATGGACGTGGCACCGGTGTTAGCCGACGTTTGGGTGGACGTGATAACAACTACGGTAGTTCCCTGTGTCGATGTAAATGTTGTCTTCTCGGCACTTGAAGTGGTGGACGGGGCGGTTGTAGTGGAAGAAGTGGAAGAAGTCGAAGAAGAAGTGGACGAAGTGGAAGTGGACGAAGTAGACGTAGGCTCGGGGGTCGACTTGGTAGCGCTCGTTGTCGTGCTACTAGTACTGCTCGTAGTGGTACTGGAGGTAGTTGGTTCACTTTTACTCGACGTGGTGGGAGCAGGCGTAGATGAAGAGGTCGTTTCCGTTGAAGAGGTGGAGGGTTGGGCGGCAGATGTTTGACTGGTGGTCTCAGGAGACGCCGAAGTCTGTGCAGCAGTTTCCGCGGCGCTAGAACCGATAGCTGCCGCGGCAGCGGCAGCGCCTTTGGATGCTGGATTCGACGACATCTCAATAGCAATATTGGTCAATGTCGGTCAAGAATAGGTGATGTCTGGTGAGTTTGCAGGTGGTGGATGTTAGGATCGAAGCGATCCTGAACCGGGAGACCGTTCGGCGAGTTTTGAGAGATTAGGGACACTTCCGGGTGCGGAAATAATTTCGGGCTGAATGAGACTGGATGGTCACAATTTCGAATCCGAGTTAATAGACTGATTTAACGAGAGACTGCGATTTGAACGCGTAAGGAGGGACGGGGTTTATGGTCGGAGTCTCAGGGGAAAATCGGCGATATCTCAGGAACCGATCAGAATAGAAAAAAAATAGAAAAAAATAGGATAAAGGAAAATGAAGAAGGATGGAAACGAGAGAACAACGAATACTCACGATCTCTCGAGGCCGAATCTAGCAGCCATGGGAGGAGAGAAATGTGTGGGAGAGTGAGATTGAAGTGGGAAGTGGAGATTTCTTACGATTGCGGCGTATCCGCATTCCTAGTTGTATTAATAGATACATTGATTTTTTGCATATATTCTGCTTATAACTACATAGTAACATTTAAATTGACTTGTGTAAGTAGTAAAAAGCACACTAATTTATGCTACGCTTGAGTTGCAGTTGCATCCCCCGCTGCAACAAACATGATGCTGTTTCTGGTAATCCCTTGATCCGGCCCTGACCATATGGCTAAGGGACACTCTAATACTCTATTATACTCTCTAATACTCTATGATACTCTCTAATGCTCTCTAATGCTCTAAAAAGTCCGACAAAATATTTCTCCGAGAATAATCCATCAATTGATCCCAACATTGAATATTTAATGTTACTACATATTGTATGTATTTATTATTCGGTACCGAAAAAAAAAAAAAAAAAAAAAACAGAGAACCGAGCTGAGAGTACCCGTGGGTGTTAGCCCTGAAGTAAGGAAGCGCCAAGGCTGAATTCCAAAGGTGACGATGTATATTCTCTTATACGGAGTACTATTCCACTTGCTTCGTGTGTTGTACTCCGTATAAAAGTCGATGATGCAGTGTGTACTCAGTTGCCACGTCTTCCCCACTTCTTCAACGGTTTTTGTCGTAGTAAACAATGTTATACATAATTTCTGTATGGAGTATGTCTGTAATTAAAAAAATACGATCGGCATGAATAATCTTGTTTCCTGCGTCTAGCCCATTAGCATATCCATATTAAACTTGTTGCGATCTCTCTCATCTTGCCCCTGACTGTTGGGTCAACGGGCCGATGTCTGCCTAGGCCGCCAACTTCCCGTCGTACGTAGCCGAACGCCTAATTGTGGAGTGTCTACAAATCTACAAAGCAGGCTCGTAGTATACTCCAAATTTTAGAAGATCTAGATGTTCTAGAACCACAGAGTACTATCTTCTACAATCCAGAGAACAAATATATACAGCCCAGAGACCGAGCAGAAGAAATGAAATTTCAAAATGATCACGGAAAAGAATCCAACCATCATCTATTTACGCCATTGATGGCAGATTTCCAGACAAAAAAAGGAGAACAGAGTAATGAATATAAAAAGGGGTGACGACCATCGCCCCCAAAAGCTCAAGCACCGGGGGTCCCAGATGAGAAACAAAAAAAAAATCAGATCATCACGTGCTCTTTTACAAGGTACCAAAACAACAAAGTCATGACATTGGAAAGCGGCAAGCCCACTTCCTTATGCGTTGTTCATATCCCACTTTGGACGCAGACTGGCCATCATGTCGTCCTTAGTGCCGACCGCCTCGGCCGGCAGACGACTGACACGGTAGTTGCCCATGCGGATATTATTCTGGTGGTTAGCAGAGACGACAGTCCGAGCACTGCGGATACTACCCGCGTCGCTGCCGGTACCGCCCTCGTTCTTGAACCGGGGCGGGGGCACAAAGTCCAGGTTGGTGAACGTGCCAGACTTGCGCAGGGCGTGAGGGCTGGGCATCACGGCGAGCTCATCAAAGGCAGAGACCAGTGGCGTGTGGGCACGCACACCAGGGACGTAGGGGCGCATGCCACCGGTGGGTGTCTCGGGGCGACCCGCGCGGCGGTCCCTGAATCCATGTGCCGGGGCAAAGTCCATGGCAGTCATGAGGGAGTCATCCGTCAACATGTGAGGAGTAGGTAGGACATGCAGCGGGGAGGGAGGTGGGATCGGTTTCTTAGGACCGCGTGGGCCGGGCATACGGCCGGAGGCAGATGAGAAGGCGCGTGGGCCGGGCATGCCGTTGTGGCCAGCAGAGTTGGTGGCCATGTGGCGAGCGGCTCCCTGGAAGCGTGGAGGTGCGCGGGGCGGCGGTGTCATCGCGCGACGGGTGATCGGCTCAGCGAATGGAGCAGCACCATGGGTGGCGTCATAATATTCGCCGGTGGCTGGGTCATAGATGAAACCAGCTGCATTACCACCACCCTCATAGAACTCGGGACCGAAGTCCTCGTAGTATGTGGGCTCCTGGCCGGTCTTGCTTTCATCGAAGTACTCCTTGTAGAAGGATCGAATCCGATTGGCACGCTGTTCTGGGTTGTCGGCGGGGTCTTCTGGGGGCAACGGGCGCAATCCGAGAGTCATCCGGCGGGTATCGCGGCGGTTATCATATGCCGCATCCAGATTTTGAGGTTCCTCTGGGAGTTCTGGATGCTTGTTATCGTGGCTTGGGGCATTATGTTGCTGTACGTCTTCTGTGCCATGGATGTTGACCGCAGGGAGAATGTATTGCGACTTGCGGTCATCGCCATAGTCACTACTGGTAACATCGCTGGCCGGCAGGGAAATACGAGGAAGCTGTGATGCAGGAGCCTGGTCATGGCTCAAGTCTCGTGACTGTGAAGGCTCAGGCAGCGGGAAGTTCAGGCGCTCTTCGTGCTGGTTGTTATATGTGTTGCCGTATGTATCATCCAATCCGAAGTTTAGGCCCGAAGAGGAATCCAGATGGGGCAGGGGCTCTGGTGAGGGAATCCTGTTGGCATTGGGACTTCCAATAGCCATGCCAGGTTGGTGTGCGGCAGGTGGATGTGTCACCCCGGGAACTTGCCCAAGGTAGTCATTGTGCTGGTTCGGAGAAGTGCGTCCATGAGATTCGATGGGGGAGGAGTACAGCGGCGGAGATGAACGAGACATCCTCTGTGCATTCTGCAGAAGACCTGAATTGCCGTCATCGGCACCTCCCAATCGGGAACCCCTGGGGTACGACCGAATGGAGGCAGTGGCCGGACGGTATTTGTCATCATCTATTGACATGGAGCGCAGAGACTCCGGGGAACCTTTCAGGTTCGGAGGCATCAGATATGGACCGACATCAAGAGACAATCCTTTGGTATGGGCTGGTTCTGACATTGGGGGCATTCCAGGGCCTTTCCTCCTGGTTGCAGGCCCCACTGTATCCATTCCAAAATCGAGAGATTTATGTTTGTCCATTGCATCTTCCCGCAGAAGTTTCTTGACATGTCTCCGGTGAAGCATAACGAGAACGATAATAGCACACAAAATGGGAAGACCTGCACCGAGCACGACAGGTAAGACCGTCGTTGTCAGATTGCTGGTGGGCTTTTCTCCCGTAATCGCCGCAGTTGATTCGGATCTTGCCACGAGGGATGGAAGCTTGGTGGCTATAGAGGAGGCACTGGGGACCAAGAATGGCAACCGATGTGGAGGGATGACATCCCGACGAACGTGATTTCGCATCACCAAGCCGGCGTGATGTGCATGAGGCATAGTCGATGTAGTCTGGTCTATAGGGATAGACCCGACTTGTCTGGAACGTGAAGACCGGTCAACACGTTTAAAATGGCGATAGCCGCTCGAGATTGATGCTCGTCATTTAAATTCGGGTCACACAATTCAGAAAATCACAAATATCTGAGAAGAAAGAGTGTAATAAGCAATGTAATAAGCAATGTAAAGGAGTGTATAGGACTAGGTCCTTGAAAAAGAGCGGCGGCCAGCAGCCAAAAGAGAATGAATGGATAATGAGAGAGGAAGAAAAGAGGAGAAAGAGAGAAGAGAGTGAGTTCTAGAATAGTGGACTAGCGCCAATATTATACAGAGACTTTTGTATTGTACAGGTACTCTATCTCCGCATCTCACCCCCTGAGTCTTTATTTAGAACGAACTCCCTGAATTTCTACTGTTATTGTTTTTTTGTCTCGGTTTTCATTACTTGCTTATTCCGATCTCCAAATCTTTCACCTATTTAATCTATTTGTTGATACTCTCAATGCACCAAAATGCACCAAAATGCACCAAGCAAGGCGAGGGTAAGACACCTCCAGGACCTCTTGATGGGACCACCCTACGGTAGCGTCAGGAACCCGCTCTCTTATCAGCCAATCGTTGAGCGGCTGCCCCTGAGTTGGCAGTGCCCCAGTGGATATAAGAGTGACTGTATCTTGTTAATTACATACACTAAATGTCCAACTTGCGTATTCTGTATCTCCCATGTAAGGGCCACAAGGGGTTTTTCTCGGTTTTCATTTCATTTCTTTCCTTCTTTTTTTTTTCCCTTATTTCTTCCTTCTATACGGAGTACTTCGTACGGAGTATGAGTACCCGTGGACGCTTCAAGGCTATGCCAAGTCCAGACTCTTCACATTGGCTAATGCTTAATCTTTAGGATAACAAAATAGACTGGGCATAATAAAGCTTTCCAGTGGATGGAGTACTCTGTCCATCGTAAAGAGATCAATTGAACAATAGATTCAATACAGGGCGAATTTGGGGCTGTAATTTCTGATTCCCTCAAGATGAGACGCCGGTGTGGCCCCCCTCATTTCCAGCTTCCCCGGATAATATTCGGATTAACTATACTACATCTTACCCTAATCGTACACCTCTTGGCACATATTAAACCGCCAGCCTCCGATGTATTCTGTGGGATATGTCTTCTATTTCTCTACCCTATCTCACTGGTTTGTTAGCTGTTTATTTTTATCTACTCCTTGAGCTGGGTTGTTAGGTCCATTTCTCTCAAGGGAAACCGTACATATCTAGGTAGGCATAAGGAATAATCCGTAACAGCATTGATAGTCGATAACCCAAATTACGCCGAGTAAAAGCGCAGGCTTTCAAATACTCGTGGAAGATGTGTAATAAAATGTCTTGGCTTGTCGTGGTGACGCGCTACGGAGGACTTGTACAGCCACAAAACGCCTCTATTGAACATTGCACTCATCAGATATATTTATGCCAATGAAGCCTAAACAACTTCGGAGCTAGTCAAATACCTTAATTTATCTATTACAAAGGAATGGCAACGGCTGCGTCCTTAGAGCAAATTCTCATAATGATGTCAGTGCTTGTTTATGTTGTACCTCTGGATATATATATCGACCCCAACTGTTAAGCAAAACGAGGATTCTTCAATCAAATTTCTGGTCTTGTACATTAATTTCTAGCATTGAACCTAATTAATATTTTTCCAGAAGAAAGACTTAGTTCCCGATATATCGAAAGTCAAATATATATAGAGGTTGAAGTTGGGCTGTGGAGAGTTCAACTATTCTAGGAAGCAAATCTCCACTTCTGGACATGAGGATATATCCCCTGAACCACATTTGAAAGCCATTGGGCTCACCAGAAAATTAATAATACCTAGGACCTTTGCCCGGGACGAGACGCAATCTTCGTGTATGCACTACGAACGTTAAGGTTGTTTCCGTTAAGTTGGATAATATGAAGATTAGAATTTGGGTTCATTTCTGTATTAGACTTAGACACAGGGTGACAAGTTCATAGAATTGCCCTTCAGGGCTTGCCCCCGGGTTAATCATCACATATGGGGTTCATTGCTTTTCATCTTGCCTGGTATGGGGGTCTTCGTTTGAAAACATCATCAGAGGACAGATCATCCCCCTTGGAAGGAATCCTCCGTGATTAGTACAGCGCAATTAGGAAATATGAGCTGCGCAAATATGAAACATGGACGAAAGGAATGGGAAGATGACAGAAGAGAAAATAGAAAGTCATGGGCCCCATGGGCACTCGTATGTGTGGGATGCACACATGAAAGGGAGGGAAAGGAAAAACCGTATTGTTGGCAATGTACATTGGGGTAGAGTTGTACACGAGAATGAAAAAAAAGGTAATGGCGTTTTGGGTCAGATCGCATTGTGAAAGAAATAGACGGAATTCCCCGAGATCGTGCAGGGAGTAAACATTAGGTAAGGATGAAGAAGATGGCCATGCAAATGATCTTCAGGTGTTTTTCGGTTCATCTCATGGGTTGTGGTTGGCGGATGGAAGATAATGAGAGGGAGTGAGTATTGAGGTGTGATGAAAAGAAAGAAAAAAGTTGATTAGGACATGTCAGCCAGCGCTGCCTCAAAGCTGGCAATATCATCGTGAGATGGTTTGTCGAAAATGCGTCGGAATGGCGGGTCTTGGAAGTCCTGTGGGCTGGTTGCTACCCCGTCTGCTTTGCGAATAACTTCCTTCAACGCACGCGTCACCACACCTGCACGAACCACCAAATTTTTCAACGAGGAAGTATCAAACGGAAGTTTCTTTGCACGTGATGATAATTCTAACTCATCAAGAGCTGAAGCGGGCTTTTGTTGATCACGACCGGCCTGAAGGATATCAAGTACAGATTTGGACTTTGGGGAGTCCTTTGCAAGCTGAGCGAGGGGCAACGTGGGTGCGGCATTTTCACCACGGGGCAAGTCCCATGAAACCTCGCTGGTTCGCTTTGACGACGCATTGAGACCATCATCGTCGGATTCATCGAAACTGAAAGTGAGAGATTGTGGAGATCCTGGCGGCGAGCGACGCTCCTCTTCATCGTCAATGGTAGCGAGGTTTACAATCTGCTCTGCTTCTGCCCACAGTTCACTGGACGGTCCGTTGACAACACCTAGGACATTTGCTTGATGCCGAAGACGTTTCAATTCCTCCACCAGCAGTGTCAATTCTTGAACCTGTCCAAATTGCCCACGAAGACTTGCTTGACGCTCCAGAATGGCTTTGGGAACAGTCATGCTCTGGCGATTGATATCAGGCTCAATAAGTGGTTTATTTTCGGCGACAGGTGTGTCCTCTGACTCGTCAAAGTCAAAATCGCTATCCCAATCTTCACTGACACCCTTACTGCCCAAGCCCCAAGTACCGAACTTGCCGGAAGTTTGACGCGATTCGTTGATGGGAAGTTCACTGGCAACTGGGACACTCTGGCTCCTAAGGTGGACGGTGGATGGTGCTTTCCGGCAAACAGCCCGACTGTTTCTATCAACAACACCCTCTTGTTTCCCATGCATGGTCCTGGGACGCGTCTCAGAGTCCGAAGTTTCACGGTTAGGGTGTGTTTGTTCAGACCAGTCAAAGATGTTTGTCTTTTTGTTGATGTCCGAATCCAACTCGCCCATAAACGATCCCGGCATATCCTTAGCTGCACCAACAGGCGACTCGGGCTGCTCAGCAAATTTGGCCAATGAATGGGTCAAAGAAGATGGAAAACAATCACGATCATCGCCCGGAAGGGATCCAATCATGCTGAGAGCATCGTCGTCACACACGAAAGGATTTCCAACCATGGATGTTTGAACCAAAGGAGGGGAAGACAGAAGCGGATCTGTGAATAATTGGGGATCCTTGTCCAAAGACCGAGCGGCGAAGGAACCCCGCGGGAGGAGAGACTCCAAGGTCGTGGCTTCTTCATTCACCAAGCTCGTACCTGCTTTGTCGAACATCGTCTCAATCCGCAGCCCCTTCAGTCCACTGCGATTGGTCTCACGTGTGCGGACAGAGTCCCAATAATCCGACACCCCATCCGTCTCATATCCATCGCACGAGGTGAACACCCGCGTGTCATCAGAACCAATGATGGTGGAAGCCGGATCGGAACCTGAAATCGAAAATCCCTTGGGACGGCGACGAAGAGAACCGTAAGCTTGACCACCAGGACGAGATGCCTGCTGCCAGGCCGACAGGGCGACCGCATCCGAGGTCATTTGACGTGAACCGCTTCGAGATCCCAAGCCAACGTTATAGTCCTGCGATACCGATCGGGGACCAACTTGAGACCGTCTTTCCAAAGCCGAATCAGCCCAACCAGGCTGCGAAATGGGATACGGAGGGCGAAACACGTTGGGATCAGTAATGTTGCGCCGCGGCTCGGGCTCCGGGGAGCTCGGAATAGCGACAATATTTGGTTCCGCTGAGACTTCGGAAGGAGGGACTGAGAATGTCCTCCCCTTCACTCGCTTCAGAGAGCCGCCGCGAACGAGTCCCATAATCGGTGTCCCATGCGCGGTGACTGTGTTTGCCATGACGATTTTCGGCTCAACATCGTTGACCGAGTATGACTGTTTATGGCGGGATTTCTCCGATTGCTGTTCCGGAGCGACTGGCTGCTTGGGAGCAGGCTCAGTAGGCTCAGTAGGCTCAGTAGGCTCAGTAGGCTCAGCGAGGGCGGTTTGGAACGGATTGCGGAATTCAATTGGGGTATGAGGTACGGATCTGTCTTCTCGGGGCGCAGCAGTCGTGGGTGAGATCGCATTAGCCATAACCAACGCAGGAAGAGCGCCTTGGTCAGACGCAACCTGGCGTGCACTTTGAACCTTTGGGGCAGTCGCGGTCGAGAATCTGCGCGAAAATCTCTCTGCTAATTTGCCAGCCTTGGGGACGAAGAACTGCGTCCAATGCTTCTGCTTATTGAGCTCGAATTCCTCGATCGCTGGACCTTCGACAGGAGTCTTCGGAAAATATGCATCGAAATCAGG